GTATATCCGATCTACAGACTTACCTTCATCGACACTTGACATGAAGAGTCTTGGTCAGCTCCGTTATTTTCTCGGATCTGAGATTTCTGACGCTCTAAATGACATATATTTATCTCAGGTGAAATATGCATCTGATCTCATATCTCGTTCAGGTCTGACTGATAGCCAGATTGCATCTACCTTTCTCGAGGGGAACTGCCGACTTGCTCTTTTCGACGGCACTCCACTAGAGGACCCCTGGTATACTTGACGGTCACTCGCCCTGACATAGCTCATGCGGTTTATGTTTTTGCTCAGTTCATGACTAATCCCCGGACAGTTCACTATGCTGCTGTGTTGCGTATTCTTTGTTACGTCAAGGGAACAATCTTACACGGTCTTCATTTTTCTGCTGACTCTCCATTAGTTCTTGCAGGTTTCTCTGATGCTGATTGGGCAGGTGATCTGACTGATCATCGCTCTATCACAGGTTATTGTTTTTTTCTTGGGAGTTCCCTTGTTTCTTGGCGCAACAAGAAACAAACTCTCGTTTCTCGCTCCAGTGCAGAATCTGAGTATCGTGCTCTTGCGGATTCGACTTCAGAGCTCCTTTGGCTTCGTCGGCTTCTTTCTGATCTTGGGGTTCCTCAGCTTTCTTCCACTTCCCTCCACTGTGATAGCACAAACGCAATTCAGATCTCCCATAATGATGTCTTTCACGAGCGCACCAAACATATTGAGATTGATTGTCACTTTATTCGTCAGCATATTCGTGCATGCACTGTTCATCTATATTTTGTCTTTTCCGAGGATCAGTCTGCGAATATCTTCACCAAGTTTCTCTTCCCAGGCCGGTTCTCTACATTGTTGAGCAAACTCAAGTTGATTTCTACTTTACCACATTGAGTTTAAGGGGGAGGGGGGGGGGGGGGGGCGTGTTAGCGTTTTTTTTTTTTTTTTATATATTGTTATTTGAGACCTACATATATATATGCCTATATATATGTACTCTCTTTTTAGGTTAAAATATAATTTGTATTTTCCACAAATATTCAAATAACTATAAAACTTATTTAATAAGTTGAATTAAATATTTATTACTTCATCCGTCCCAATACAATATTTTCGTTTACCATTTTTGTCCGTCCAAAAACAATAGTCTTATTTCCATAAATAACCATATCACCATAAAATTATCCCTACTTTTTCATTTTTATTACACAATTGCCACTATTTTTTTACTCTAATACACTCACAAGGGCAAAAAAATTTTTTTATCCATACTTTTTATTAACTACTAATATAATATCAATATTTTTTAAATTCCGTATTCAATCTAATTAAGATTATATTTATAAGACGAAGGGAGTATTAAATTATCAATTAACACTATAAATAAATATGTAATATATGTTGTAGTCAATTTGTTTAAAGTTTTCAGACATAACCAAATTCTAATAAATATTCATTGGGTGAACATTTCATAGTAAAGAAATAAGAAGAAAAAAAAAAAAAAAAAAGAACAAGTTGTTTTGAAGTTATTATTTTTTGTTTAAATTTTTTGTTTTGATAGTATTAGTTTTGATTTAATATATTGTAGAAAAACAGAATATATTTTAATAAAAAATATACAATAATTATATAATAAAAATTGAAATCAAGGTTTGTTTGTTCAATTTATTTTCTACCACACAATTCTCAATATATATATTAGTATATTCTTTTACAAAAATTAATATTATATTATTTATCAATACAACTTTTTATATTTCAAATAAAAAAAAAAATATTGTACACTTAAACACAATTACATCCTTAAAAATAAATAAATACACTTGCATTTAGTATGAGTTTTCATTATTTTCTATACATATCTTTATCCACAAGTTTCATAAAAATTTCTTCACACGAAACATTTCAATAAACTTATACTACATCACACAAATTAAAACCAATTATAAATACTCAAATCAATAAAATACATAGGGTATGTTTGTTCATTGGTTTTGGAATTAGTTTGGACTTTGAAATAATAAAATATTAAATTAACATAACTATTTAATCTATTTTAAATATATATATATATTGATCTGATATTTTAAGGGTGTGTTTGTTCGGGGGTTTGGATTTTGAGTTGGGATTTGAATAGTAAAAATTTTGAATTTGAATAGTTGTATGATGTGATATAAATAGGGTTTGATGTGATGTTTTGAATGTAAAATTGATTTTTAGTATAATATAAAAAATGAAAAATAGGTGTTTGATTTGATATTTTTGGGGGGAAAAAATTGGATGAATAGTGAAAATCTACCAAAATCCTTCAAACAAACACACCCTAAATATAATTATTGTAAATTTTGGCCGTTTGAAAATATATTCTTTTAGCCACAGTTCAGCCGCATTGTTGCCGGAGGAAAATTGGCCGTTGTCGCTCACCGATTAAAACGTTGAAGTCGCCGGTTGAATTCTGACGAGTAATTGGAAAATGGCAAACCATATTAGAAATCTACTCTCTTCGTTCCAGATAAAATATTTATATTACTTTAATAATTAATAAATATATTAATAAAATATAATTATAAATTAAAATAACTAAATATTTTAATTAAAATTAAAAAATTATAAATTATGAAAATTAAAATATAACTAAAGTATATAATCATATTTTTAAAAAATAAATATTTTTTTCTCTCGACGCAATTTGAAACAAGAAGTGGATTTTAATATTTTGATGTTGTTAACATTGGTTTGAGTTCAATTGAATTTTGGTTCCACTAATTAAATCGTATATTGTAAAACTCAACAATGCGAGATATAAATTTACAACCATAACATTAATTTTTGCTATGATATAAAAAATATTAAGAAATTTTTATTTGGTATTTTTTGAAAAAAAAATAATTATTCTTTCCATCTACTCTCAATCCATCCAACATAAATTAATATATCTTTTTTAATAATTTTGTTTTTTTTACGTAAATAAAATATATTTTTATAATCTCTCCATCCCATTTTAAACGGGTGCTTTGGAGTTTTACCGTAGATGAAGAAATAATAATATTTAATTTATTGGATAGTAGAAGTGTGCAAGAAGTTTTGATATTTTTGTTCATTTGACTTTATAAATAAATTAATTGTATGTGTAATAATATATTTGTAATTTAGGTAAAAATTAATTGTATTTTAGTATTAGTATATAATTATTTTGACTAAAATAAAAAATAAATACTTTTAAATAAGATAGACAAAAATAATAAAAAAAAAATACTTTAAAATTGAAACGAAAAAATTACTTTATATAAAATTGCAAAGAATATCATTAAGGAAATGAATGAAAAAATATATATATACAAAGTGAAAAAATTTACCTGGTCTCGCAGGTAAATTTAAAAATATATATTCCCTCTCCCTCTTAACAATTTGACCCGTCTCATAATTTATTTTGTTAGTAATTATACTATTTATTTAATATTACAAATATTATTTTAATTTATAATATATTATATAAATGTAATTATCTTTATATTATACAATACTGATAAAATTAGTTTAATTTTTTTTATTTTTACTATATTTTAATATAATATTAATATTTTAAAATTCTATTGAAAAAAAAAAAGAAAAATAGATAAATATGAAACGGAAGGTAGTATAAGACAACCGAATTAAGATAGCTAGAATAACATGTGCAATGTGATTATATTTTAAATATGATTATATTCAAAATTGCCCATTGTACCGGTTTGGCCCGGGCATGAACCGGACCAGCCCGGGACCAGGATTGGTTCAAAAAACAGGTCTCGAGCCTACTCCTGGATCATTGTATAGGTTTCTTTTTAATTAGTACTTTTAGAATCGAAGACGAGACCTATATAATTTTTTTTTAAAATTTATATTTTGAATTTTTTTAATTATATATATATTTTTTAAATATCAATAATAGTATCCACATAAAAAAAATTATACTACTCCCTCCTTTTCAAAACTATGGTCTTATTTGAGTTGGGTACGAAATTTAAAGAATATTGATATTATATTGATAATTAGTAAAAAATATGAGTAAAAAACTTTTTTGCCTCTGTAGGTGTATTAGTGTAAAAGGTAGTGACATTTGTGTAATATTATTGAAAATGTAGGGATAATTTTATGGTGAGATATTTATGGAAATGAGACTATTGTTTTAGCACAAATAAAAATGATAAATAAGACTATTGTATTATGACCGAGAAAATATAACCTATTATCATTCATTTACTAAACTTGCATCATCAAACAGACTGTAATATATAGTACTTCATTCGTCCCATCTAATTTGTTCGCATTAGTTGGGATACATAGATTTAGAAATTGTATAATTAGTAAGTAATTAAAAAGTGTATTAGTAAAAATAATTACGATCTAATAAAAATAATTATAAATTAGGAATTTGAAAATGTGATTAAAGTGTTATAATTATATGGTAAAATTGCTTATAACTTCCCTATGGTTTCAAAATTCAGCGTAAAAATCCTGTACTTTAAAAATTGCATGGTACCCCTTTATATTTTAAAAAACGTTGCATGAAACCCCACTACCATGAAACTTTCCTCGTGTGATAAGAAGATGATTTCCTATCTATATATTTTGCATGACAGAGGGGTTTTATACAATATTTTTTAAAGTATAAGTGAGCGTCATGCAATTTTTTAAAGTAAAATGGAGATTTATCCTAAGTTTCGAAACAACAAAGTGATTTCATGCAACATTTTTTAAAGTATAAGGGGACGTTACGCAATTTTTAAAGTAGAGGGAGAATTTACGTTAAGTTTCGAAACCACAAGGAAATTACGAACGATTTTGCCTAATTATATTTAAGAAAAGAAAGGATAAATTATCGTGCAACAGAAATAGAAATAGTGACAAATTAAATAGAGCGAAAATATAATATGTTTGATGACGTCAATAATAGGACTAAAATTTCTAAAATATTAAGCAAATGTAGCTTTGTTTTTCGTTGGTCATCAAAATTCATTACCTCAACCATCATTCATTCTCTGTTTCCGCTAGTAACTATTGGTTGAACTCTTATTCCTAGATACTAATTTACATAGTACATATATATATATATATTAGTAAAATTCTTTCCAGGGACAAATTCGAGCACAAACTGCGATGGTTGTCGGCAGTTCTTTTGCAAGAAACTTAAGTCTTCGATCCAATTTTCCAAAACAATTTCAAAGGCTTCATTTATTCCACTCCCTCAGGGCTGCCGTCGACGACGAATGGCGCGAAAGTTCAAATTTTCAGAGTGCAGACAACCTGTTCGACGAATGTCCTGGGAGGGATGATAATGGCGTTTCTTATTACAACCACTTGCTCTTCGAATGTTCACGCAATGGTCTGAATCAGAAAGCACTAGAAGTCTACTCTTTCGCCAGCAGGACAGGTATTTTAATGGATTCTTATAGCATTTCTTGTGTAATGAAGGCTGCTTCGAGCTCGTGCAATTACATATTTGGTCGCCAATTACATTGCCAATCTGTTAAAAATGGTTTCTTCGAGAATGTCAGCGTCGGGACATCACTTGTCGATATGTATATCAAGAACGAGAATTTCGACGATGGGAAGAAAGTTTTCGACGAAATGGGGAATAAAAATGTTGTAACTTGGACAGCGATGATCGCCGGTTATGCCAAAAAGGGTATGATTGAAAATGTTATAGAAGCCTTCAGTTCGATGAAAGATGAGGGGGTCAACCCGAGCCCGTACACGTACGCGACGATTATCGGAGCATTAGCCGACGAGCGAGCTGCGTCGGCAGGAGCTCAATTGCATTGTACGATGGTAAAAAATGGGTTTGATTCGATTCGGGTCGTGGCGAACTCGTTGGTCAGTCTTTATTCGAAATCGCGGATGATCAGAGAGGCGAGCATTGTGTTTGATTTTACGGAGTTTAAGGACGCGGTTTCTTGGAACGGAATGATTTCTGGTCTTGTCGCAAATGGGTTCGTCTCCGACGCGCTCGATCTTTTCAATAGGATGAGTTTTTTGGGTGTAAATTTCACCGAAACGACTTTCGTGACCATTGCGAAGCTATGCGCCGATCTTAAAGGATTGAGTCTCGCTCGGCAGATGCATTGCCGGATTGTCAAGAGCGGGTTGGAATGTTTCGAGAATGTAAGAACGAGTCTTATGGTGTGCTACACGAAATGCGGCGAAATCGATTCGTCGAACAAGATGTTCCCGGGTTCGGACACGGCTCGGAGCGTCGTTTCATGGACAGCGACTATTGGGGGATACTTAAAAAGCGGTAAAACTGTAGAATCGATCGATACGTTTCTCCAAATGCGACGAGCAAACGTAAGACCGAACGATTTCACTTATTCGACGATCCTTTCATCTCTCCCGGAGGCTGCTCTGTTTCAGGTCCATTCGGAAATAATCAAATCGAACTACGACAAAGTTCCGTCGGTAGGAACCGCGCTGCTCGACGCATATATCAAGATCAGAAAGATCGAAGAAGCTGAAAAGGTCTTCGAACATATCGAAAAAAAAGATATCGTCGCGTGGTCTGCGATGTTAGTTGGATACGCTCAAGAAGACGACATCGAAGGTGCAGCGAAACTTTTCCGTCGATTGAGCAAGGAAACCGTAGTCCCGAACGAGTTTACTTTCTCGGGTATAATCAACGCGTGCGCGACGTCGTCCGCAACTACTGATCAGGGGAAACAGTTCCACACGAGCTCGATCAAGTTCGGTCACAACAACGCGTTGATGGTAAGCAGCGCGCTCGTGACAATGTACGCGAAGAAAGGTGATATCGACGCGGCCGATAAAGTCTTCACGAGGCAGCGCGAACGGGACTCAGTTTCTTGGAACTCGATGATCACCGGCTACGCGCAGCACGGCTACGGCGAAAAGGCGTTGAACGTGTTCAACGAAATGCGACGAAAAAAGTTGGAGATGGACGAGATTACGTTCATCGGCGTCATCTCCGCGTGCACGCATTCGGGGCTGGTGAAAGACGGCGAACGTTATTTCGACATGATGGCGAACAGCCTTCGGATTTCTCCGACGATGGAGATCTATTCGTGCATGGTCGATCTATACGGCCGGGCCGGGATGCTCGATAAAGCGGTGGGTCTAATCGACCGGATGCCGTTCCCCGCCGGTGCGACGATTTGGCGAACACTTTTAGCTGCGTCGCGGGTTCATCGAAACATCGAGACGGGGAAACTCGCAGCCGAGAAGCTCATTTCGTGCGAGCCACGCGACTCGTCGGGGTACGTATTGTTGGCGAATTTGTACGCGGCATCGGGGCGTTGGCAAGATCGGACGAGAGTTCGGCGATTGATGGACGAGAGGAAGGTGAGGAAGGCGACGGGATACAGTTGGATCGAAGTGAAGAACAAGACGTACGCATTCGTCGCCGGCGACGTTTCACTTCCCCGTCGTTTATCGGACGAGGTTTACGCGAAGCTCGGGGAATTGAGCGGGCGGGTGAGGGATGCCGGGTATCAGGCGGACACGAACGACGTGCTGCACGACATAGAGGAGGAGCAGAAAGAAGGCATCCTTTGGCGGCACAGCGAGCGGCTGGCGATCGCGTTCGGGCTGATTTCGACGACGGCGCGGGAGATTCCAATTCGGGTGATAAAGAACCTTCGGGTTTGCGGGGACTGCCATGGCGTGATCAAGCTTATATCGAAACTTGAAGGGAGGGAGATTGTGGTGAGGGACTCTAATCGGTTTCATCATTTTAAGGATGGTTTGTGTTCTTGTAGGGATTTCTGGTGAAGTTTTGTAAGATCGAAGTAATTTTGTAAAAATTAAAAGAGTATTTTGATATTTATATATTAATTATTTTTATTATAATATAATATATATACCGAAGAAAAATGATATATTATGTTAGGACAGGGAGAGTACTACAAAAACTACAAAATTGCTATAGTGTTGATCGGGCAAAATCAGCGTCAAGTCAGCACATCTAAAGGTGTGTTTGTTTTCATGAGTTTGGAAAAATTTTGGTTTAAATTTGATATTAAAATAATGCATGATGGGATATTTTGTGAAAAAAAAAAATTATATTTTTATTGAAAAACGCAGAGTGTAAATAGTAAAAATCGGAGATTTTGAATAAAAGAAATAGTCAGACATTTTTATTAAATACAATATGATAAAGAAAACATACGTGCTATACTAATATATTTCTCATTTGATCTGGTAGGAATTTTCGAAAAATAGATAAAAATGAAAGCTTTTACTTTTTAGCATAAAGAAAAAGTAAAAATGTGATTTTTTTACTTAAAAAAATGAAAAGAGAAAATAAATTTAGATGAAAAAAAAAAGAAAAAAAAAATCGAGAATAAATACGAATGACAATGAAATATGTATTATATAATCAATTATGGTGTCATTAGTTCCAATTGAAACCATGTATTAGAGAAACTTGCAAAAAATTTTACAACTAGCTAAAAACTGTGCATCACTTAGATCAGCAAAATCGTTTTCATCGAATTAAAGAAACTAGTCAGATGGCTGTAAGAGTAACTGAATATTGAACAATTCGAATTACCAGATTTTTGTCGGCGGCTGATTCAAAAACGGGATGTAAGGATGGCATCGGGCAGTGACTAAACGACTCCAACAATGTAAGCATTCCAAGAATCTTGCTGCGGGAAGCTCGTTGCCTCTTCATATTTCATGTCTCGGCCAACAGAAGTTCCATAGACGCACCTGATTTGATCGGTGTCCGGCATGCTGCAAATCCAGAAGTGAACGGAGCGAAATCCAGCTTCCTCCAAACAATCTTTAACCTCAGGCAAAGACCAGCTGCGACGCAAAATTTAAAGTAAAATGACAATGACTATTTCAGGCAGGAACCAAATATTTGCTTAAATAGCTAAATAATGAGAAAATTGCATTTTGGAAACAATATATATATATATATATATAAATACGTGTGAACTTACAGTCGCCACTCGTAGCTAAATGCATGCCGAAGCTTTCTTTGCTGCTTGTGAAGATTGAAGTGGAGACTGATTCTCGTTTTCCTCTTAATGATGTCAAAATCATCTTGCTCCCAAACATACTGAAGGGTGAGGAGAATTTGACATTTTAGTTGCAAATTAATAAAGATTACAAAACTATGGAAAACAAAGACAAACAAATCACAAATTGTTCAAATGAGCGTACTATGGCATCTCAATGCATGTGCGTTCGTTTACAAGATTTTCCCCAAATTTACTATTCATTAAAAAGAAATTCCCAAAAAACATCAAATCAAATGCCTATTTTTTATTTTTTATATTATTTTACTAGACATCACGTCAACACCTATTTATATTAAATCATACAACTATTCTAATTCAAAATTTTTACTATTCAAATTCCAATTCAAAATACAAACCTCCAAACAAACACACCCTTTGTATTTATATCACGTCACGTCAACACCTATTTATATTAAATTATACAACTATTATAATTCAAAATTTTTACTATTTAAATCTCAATTCAAAATCCAAACCTCCAAACAAACACACCCTTAATATTTTTACATTGGTAAGTACTTTGCCAATTAAACAATAAATGGGAAGTCAAGCAAATCGAGCTCGAATAAGTATAAATTGCTTGCCATAGTTGTCAACCAGCAAATGGCATCAAATACTGTAGACACAAAATCGAACAGCACAGATAACACAATAAACCAAATGCAATGATACGCCATCAAAGATTCAATATCATACCGTGAAATTGGGAAATCGTCTCTTTAGCTTTACTACACCCTCCGAAGAAGTGCCTCCATACAGATCCATCACGAATAGGCCGCCGTTCCTGCTTAGAGCATTAATGACATGTTTGAAGTACAAAACGAGCTCTTTCCGAGTTTGAAGACAGCAGCAGCTGTAGTTAAAGGCGCACACTATATCTCTGGCCGGTAATATAAAGTCCTTCAAGCACTTTGTGTTTTGAACAGCATTCAAGCTTTCTTGCAGTGTAGAATCTGAATCGCTTTCATGATCCTGCAATGTCATATACTGCATAGTTTCTGATTCGTCAAAGCTAACAATTTCAGATTCGAGTGGTTGCAGGACATTTCCATGGAACAAGGAGATTCTGGAGCCGACATCTGTCCCGATTCTGTTGACATTGTTCTGTATACACCAGGTCAATGCTTCAGCATCTAAATCTAAACCCACAGCTGTTCGCCTAGCATCACCTCGGAGCCACTCCACACTGATAAATTCAGAAGGATCGATAATCACATTCTTGGAATGACAATACACATAGAATGTATACCCGATTATGTGCACATATCATGAACAGAATCAGCACAAAATTTACAAATGTCTAAGGAAACTCCCAACCAAACATTTTAGATGCATCCAAACAATCAAACAATGATCTGTTCTCAATAGCCGACGACATTCAACAGCCCCTACGCGTCTAATGATTTCAGAACATTCCTAAATTACTTTTGTGCAATATATATTGGTAAAACTAAATGGTTTCCAAACAACAATTGGCAACAAACGAAATTCGATAGACCTTCTTGGAGGCTTTCTACCACACAAACTTATGCACATAATTATTTCTTCCTCGAAGATATATGAATTGGATTGACATAAAAGATCTACATGTAAAATGGTAAACAACAAACGCCTATAAATGATTATCCTGAAATCAAACAGACCTAAATGGCAATCATTGTACCAATTTCAAACACTGTTTATGAACATCCACCAATCCAATTTCAAGAACAAGTAGAACAAACCCTAAAGAAGCACACCATTGATAGAACTACTAAGCAATAACTACCTATACCTTAAAAGAGCAGTGCCGCAGAAGTCTTCCTGGAGATGGAGGGGAGCTCTCCCGCCCACATACATCAAAAAAAACTTGTGCAGATAGCTAATATCCCCTTTAGGAGACTGCAATTTCGTATGAAATCAGTCACGCACTCAGAATCAATAACAAGAGGCGAATGAACATAATACCGAATTGCTCGTTCACCTGCACCGATTGTTGATAGAGAGAGAATTTAGAAGGGGCGTCGCACTCAGAGTCGATGCTCCTATCGAAACCCTCGCCAGTTTCTTTGTTTTTCTCGTCTTCTTCCTCTTCTTCTTCTTCGCCTTCCTCAGACGGTGGATCGGAGTCAAGCTCTGGAAGGTGTTGGAGACATTCGCTAGTGTCTTCCCTCTCAAGATTGTACAACGTTTTCTTCCCCCGGCGGCGGTTCGAGTTTTCCTTCTTGCCGTGTTTCCCCATATCTTCCGTTCGCTCCTCCCCCCCTCTCTCTCTCTGCACTACGCTCAACTGAACTTGACTAACTACTCTCTGCCATTTCCGTTCGCAACATTTACATAAATAAATAAATAAATAAAGAGCATAAATTTCATTAATTAATACCCTTGTTCTTTGGTCATTTGATTGGCACGGATTTTGATAAATATAAATAATAATAATTATTATTTTTAATATATAAAAAATTATCTTATTTCAATCAACCAATTTATATATTTTTCAGAGAGTACCTTTTTTTTGGGCGGAGTGGATATTTATTTAATTTAAAATACAAATTCTATAAAATACAATTTATTTTTATTTCTTAAAATTAGTAATAATGAAACTATTACAGTATTATACTTTTACTACAATACAATAATTACTTAATAAATCAATAGACATCAAAATCTTTGAATTTAAATGAAACTTACAAACTTAAAGAACATAAAAATTCAAATTTAAATTATAACTCAATTTTCTTCCGAATTTCTTCAAACGAAGTAGGCCCTTATTACGTAGAGATATTTGGAAAAGAGCGCGAAAAAATGGATCAACATTGGGGAAACACGGCAAGAAAGAAAACTCCAACCACCGCAGAAGAAGGAGACGCAGACGACAATCAAATAATCTTCAAAATTCTCTCTGTCGCAAAACTACGTAATTTATATACTATTTTCGTCTACTGTCAATCTACTAATTTACTTTTTGCATATTAATTTTTAAATAATAATTATTATATAAAAAACGTAAGTAGAAATTTTAAAAAATAGAAAAATATTTATATCAGTGTCTTATAATAATAAGATATAATATTTGTAAAACAATAACACCAAATACAAGTAGATTGAGTGTGGACGGAGAGATAATATTACAGGGGTGTGTTTGTTCAGAGGGATTTTGCAAAAAAATCTACTATTCATTTAAAATTTTTATCCCAAAAATATTAAATTAAACTCCTCATTTTCATTTTTTTATATTATTCTAAAAAAATAATTTTACATTTAAAATATCACATCAACACCTATTTATATCACGTCATACCGCTATTTCAATTCAAAATTTTTACTATCGAATCGCAACTCAAAATCCAAACCTCCGAACAAACACACCCATTGATAGAGGTATTCATCCCAACGGGTGTATTTCTTTTGATAAGTTTGGAAACAAATTTGTTTGACTTTGGTATGAAAATAATATTTTATGGGATATTTTATGAGAAGAAAACATATACTCCCTCCGTCTCATAGCTAGATATCCATTTGCTTTTTGCATGTAGTTTTAGAACTATTAGTATTATATTGGGATGTAGTAGGAATAAAGTAGAAATGATTAAAATATTATGTACTCCCTCCGTCCCAAACACCCTACAACATTTCCTTTTTGGTATGTCCCAAACATGTTGCAACATTTTCAAGATAGGAAATAATTAATTATACTTAATCTCTACCCCACACTTTATCCCCTCATATCATCCAAATAAAAAAATAAAATATATATTTCTTTCTTCATCACATCACCTAATTTCTAAATTATCCTACTTAATACTATCCACCTAAAAATCCGTGCCAAAAATAAATGTTGCACCTTGTTTGGGACAGAGGGAGTATGATATAAAGGTAATAACATTTTCGTAATATATTGTAAGTAAGGATATTTGTAATGTTAGGTAGATAGTACAGTTACTAAAAAAGGAAATTGATACTTTGTTATGAGACGGATTAAAATGAAAAAATAGATACTTTGTTATGAGATGGAGGAAGTATTATTTTAAAAAACGCAAAATTCAAATAGTAAAATTTGGGGAAGCTCGTCGAAAGAACATATCCTGATAAATACAAAGACGACAATCTTGAAGTAACACAAAGCATAGAGAAATAGTTGTGAAAAGTGAAAAACAATTGCTTCACTGGCTCCCTTTATAAAAGATTAAAAATATGGGCTTTGGAAGACTTCTTGGACCAAAAACAAAAACGGTCATGAACTAGCTCCCATTATATGCTAAATTTAATTTTAAATTAACAATTATTTTGAAAAGTAATTTATTTAATTTATAATATAATTTGTTGTTTCCAACTCCCGTCCAATAAATTTAATTTAATTTTTTTTTTAATTTATAAAGGAATGAAATTAAATTTGTCTAAACAAAAAAATAATATTAAAAAATATAAATATTTATTTATAACTAATATAAATTAACTTATTTAAAAATATGAAGTTTTAAGTAAATATATATATATATATATATGGAGAGTTTTATATTTTGAAATTGAAATAATTGTTGCATACAGTAATATTAATTTGTAAAGAATAAATACTATATTAATAATAATCATCACATATTTATTAGTTATTAGCACATTAATAATTTTGGTAACACTTCTTCTAAGATCATAATAATAATAACAATAATAATAATAATAAAGAAGAATGCAGTTAGGATTTCAAACAATTAATCAATCACCTTCATATACACTAAAGTAAGTAAGAAAAAAAAAAAATTATTTATTTATTAAGGATATTGAACATTATATTTGTGATCTTGAATTTGCAGTAATATATATATACATTTATTCTCATTTCAAAATTGGAAGTTTATTTGCATGCATGAAAATCAACTTTCTTGCCTATATACTGACGACGTAACTTCAAGTTGATCAGGACATACAAAAAAACAAACAAAACAAGAGAGATCTAGAGAGAGAAGTGGGGTGGGGTGGGGTGGGGTGGGGTGCTTTAGATACATGGCTGCTTACATTAATTGTCCCGACCATTCGAATATTGTTTCCCATTAGTAGTAGATACATCTCTGCATAGAAAATAGAAAACCCTAGTAAAAATTAATGCACATCAATATATATATATATATATATATAAGCTAAATTACTCCATCCCATCGAAACCCTAAATCCATATGAATAATATTCTCCATCATGATCAAGAAATTAAGCCAATTTATTAATCTCTCTTCAATCCCATCCAAGAAATTACAGAATAATCAAGATCTAGGAATTAATCCAATTTCTTATTTGTACCTGAACTAAACCAAGTGTAGTCAAGAATTGATCGATGCTAATTTCTTATTTCCGGAGGCGGCGGCGGCGGCGGCCAGGAGTTAGCTCCGATATCTGACTTGATTTATTCAAAATTGAACCACAGGTAGAATCTCTGCATGGGAATGGTCAGCTGTGTAAGGGCTTCGAGGTCCAGGACTTCAGAAATCTTCTTGTTGTAGTAATGGATCAGATAGTCGAAGCACTCCTTGTGAAATCGACGACTGTCATTGTAGTTGGTCGGAAAACGATCGGGTGATCGTCGACCGTAGGGATTGTAATAATGGAATGGAGATCTGTTTGGAGGATTAAGGGTTTCGTCCACAGAATTAGGTTTATGTGTAGAAGACGAAGACGACGACGATGGTGATGAGCAGAGGTTTAGGAGTAGGAAAAGAACTAATAAGAAGCAGAGAATCTTGGACGATTTGGAACCCATAGCCATCGCCATTGCACGATCTTCTTGATGATTAATTTGCAGAGAAATTTGTTTCATAGATGTATATATATATATAATAATACCTCCGTCCGGCTATAAAGGTTTGGTATACTTTTTGTGTGTTGATTTTTGAATATTAATTATTATATCAAAACGTAGTATAAATTAAGAAAAAATTGCAAAAATACTTCTATTAATATCTTATAATACTAAAAAGAAGAATATTTGTACAAAAAATTATAAAAATATAAAGATATTTTTAATATTAAGTGCAATGACAATATGACCCTTAGAAGCGGACAGAAAGAGTATAATACTCCTCCTGTCCAGTTACAAAGTAAACATTTATTTTTGGTGAAGTTTAAAAAATAATAGTATTTTAATTATAGTGGATAGTTAAAAGTACTGTAATGACATTTTTGTCCCTTTTTTTTGTGTAAAAGTATTGATCCGATGTAAAGTAAAAGTATTTATGGAAAAAGTGAGGTTTTTAATGAAATTGTTACTTTGTAATTGGACATCTCAAAATAGAAATATTTATACTTTATAACTGGACGAAATGAATAGTATAATGTAGCTACATTAGTCTAGTATAGTCTATACCGCCCGAACGGTTAATTGGTTGGTTTCGGTTTATCCAAATATTTAAACCGAAGGTGAACTTACTATCTAATTTATGGGAACTGTTACAGTGTTGATTTGAAAAAATCAGTTCCAAATCAGTCGATACCAATAATATATACAAACAACACAATTTTATTGTACACGGTATATGTTGTGTGTAATAAAGATATGTATTGGTTGTTTATAATTAAATGTACTATATAACAGTATGTGATGCGTTAAAATCAATTGTTCTTTATGTTGTATGAGACTATAATATGTGCTGTTAGTTCATGCATGTAGTATATTAACACATACGATGTGATATCTATAGTAATACTAATACTGTGTATGAGTCAGCATATGATATGCTGTCATCACCGTATCCTAACTTATATATATACACAAAAAAAAAAAAAAAAAACCCATCTATGAAACAAATTCTTTGCAAATTAATCTTCATATATAGGTGAGCCACGCGGGCATCTCCAGCGCCGGAGGACTAAAACAGCGAAAAATTTTCACTTATGGGACTAGTTTGCGACAAGCTTCACTTACGGGACTAAAATGATAAAGGGATCCAGTTACGGGACTAAAAAAAACAGTTTACCCTAAAACATATTCAGTTCATCAATTCTAAATTATCTACATAACTTAATACGAAATATTTTTATCATTCGAACTTATGTTGATTTTTGGTTTTCATTGTCCACTAAAAATATTTTTCTTCATTTTTAGTAAATATTATTACTTCTTTTTTAATTTTTTCTTTTCTATGTTTAGCCACTTTCTTTTAAACATATGCCAGTTAAGTTGACATAAATTTCAATAACGAAAGCAGTGATCTCAATATCATGAGTTTACCCATTGTCATTTTTTTTTCAATTTATACATTAATGTTCTAATAAATCCAACATAAACAAGTACTCTCTCTGTCCTGTATATTTTGTTAACCACCGGAATTTAGATAATTAATAATTAATAAATTAAAAAGTATATTAATAAAAATAATTATAATATAATAAAAATAATTATAAATTAAACTAAAATAATTAAATAATTTAATTAAAATTCAAAAATTATTTTAGTCACACAATAATACGCGACAATGTAGAAAAATAGATGAAATATTCCTAAACGTTCATCATCGCAAATAATAATATTAATAATAAGAATAATAATAATAACAATAAGAATAATAACAATAATAATAATAACTTTTGGCATAGGAAATCAACACTACATATAATTAGGGTAAATTATATAACACTCCCTTATATTTTAATAAAAATACATAAAGCATTATATATTTTATTTATTGCGTGAAACTCCCTCGTGTTAATGTAAAAATTTGTACGAAACACCCAAATTGTTTAAAACTGATGTTCAGTTCTAAATAAAGACCTAAATTATGCAAGTTTTATTAAAATAAAAAATGTAAAATATCTTAAATAATTTTTTTAATAAAATAAATAAATAAATAATTGATCAATAATTTATTTTTACAATTTTTGTAAAAATCATATAACAATTTATCTTCAAAAAGTATAAAATGAAGAATTGTTTATTTATATATTTTATTAAAAAAATTATTTTACATATTTTACATTTTTTATTTATGTAAAATTTGCGTAATTTAGGTCTTTATTTATAACAGAATATCAATTTTGGACAAGGAGGGTGTTTCATGCAAATTTTATATTAAGACAAATGAGTTTCACGCAATAAATAAAACACACGGTGTTTTGTGCATTTTTACTAAAAAAACAAGGAGGTTGTTATATAATTTACCCCTATCTATATTTAAAACTACACATCTTTTATAAAATTGATTTATATTAATTATAAATAAACAAAAATATGTTTTTATTTACTTGTATTACAGAAGATTTTAGTCTCTACAAAAATGATATTCATATTGCATATATTTTTTAATTGCTATATCATTTTTAAATATTTAAACATATATATTAATTCTTTAATCATCTATATTAAATTTACTCTAAAATTATAAATATTATTAATTATACAAAAAAATAATATAATAATATCATAACTAATTATTATTAACTTATTAAACATTCTCATCTTAAGTAGCATGTTCCTAATCAAATGGTTCAATTCAGATTTCAATTCTGGTGGGACGGAGGGAGTATTTTATTTTAAAATATACTAACATTTCGTACTATTAATATCAAATTTTAAATTCTAAATGAAGTAGGGCGTGTTTGTTCGGGGGTTTGAATTTTGAGTTGGGATTTAAATAGTAAAAATTTTGAATTTGAATAATTGTATGACGTAATATAAATAGATATTGATGTGATATTTTAAATATAAAATTGATTTTTAATATAATATAGAAAATAAAAAATAAGTATTTGATTTGATATTTTTAGGAAAAAAAATGAGATGAATAGTGAAATTAAAATCCAATTTCGAGACAAACACACCCTTAACATACGTAAAAATATTTTTTTTTTAACTAGAAACAGCAAACTTAACTAAAAACTAAAATAATAATAATAATAATAATAATAATCCGTGCTTATTAATTTATCCATTAATCAAAGGCAGGGAAAGTCACAGGACAAATCCAGCCGTTAATTCTGAACGGCCCCACAAATCCAACGGTGGTTATGCTTCGGGGACCGCCTCTTTATCACTCATATCCTCCTGCATTGATCTTGACTTCAAAAACTGTTGGAAGATCCCGGATCTGTGCTCCCTCCCCAATTTGCACGAAATGCAAATTCACCAAATTTGTGAGCTCCGGGACCTCTCAAGATTGTTTCCAACAACCCAGTTGGCCGTCGGCATGATTACAATTCACAAGACAAAAAAAAAGAAGAAAAACATTAGGCTAACCCTAACAAAAGAACACACTGCTTTCAATAAATGCTTTGTATCTATCGATCTTCTTAGCTCGAGAATTAATGGCGGAATTCGACAGAAAAGTCCGCACATACTGTTCCATAAATCCTTCCGCCATTGCTACAAATCCACACTTCATTCCTTAATTAACTTATATATATATATATATATATTCATACTCCATAGATCGGTAATCATGTCATGCTTATGCAGTTTCCGCAGACTTTTTCAGTTAGGTTTTCTTTCCCCAAATTTTGGCATCTCAGATGAAAGGAAGAACCGCCGACTTGATGCGCATTCAATCGCCATGAATTAGCAGAATCGTTTGGGGGGAGATTCGGAAGAATTTTGCATTTGTTGAAGAATCGTTTTGGTTTGGATTTGGACTCATGTTGTGCTTGTGTTCTTCGATTTCTGGTTGAACATGAATTTGAACAGATCTCTTCTCATTTCCTCCAAATTCCTCCACATAATCTGCCGGAATCTTTAGCACAGAAATCAGGCGAGATCCGCCGGCGATTTCATCCTCCACCAGTCCGATTGATTTCGCCGCTCGATGAAACGCACTCTCCGCCCAATCTCCAGCATTCTGCTGCTCCTGGTCATCGTCGGCACTCTCAGCGTCAGAGTCCTCCTGTATCGGACTGGATCCTTCCTGTCCGAAGCGGTGGTTTTTCAGCCCCCTCCGAAGCCGGTTTTCAACGAAACTCTTCTGAAACTCGCTTCCACCGACATTGCCGAGCCGAAATTGAAGCAGGAGATCGAGGAATTGTTGGAAGGTAATTTCCGCAGCCGTGGCCGGCAGAGGTCGTTCCTGTCTTCTGGAAAGTACCATATCGATGCTAGAGTTAGGTCAGCCAGGGGATTTCCGTTGCAGCTCCGGTCGCCGGAGTTTTACCGGCTGTGGTTGAGCTTCCGCAGGTTTTTAGGCGATTGGTGGAGGAAACGACGGTTGTTCTCTCCCGATTTAATGTCAGATTTAGTGAGTACAGTCAAGGCTTCCGCCATAGACAAACACTATGGGAAGAACAACAACAACAACAAGGAATCAATGGGGAAGAAATACAAGAGCTGTGCAGTGGTAGGTAACAGTGGAATTCTATTGAAAACCGATCACGGCAATCTGATCGACAGCCACGACGCCGTGATCCGATTGAACAATGCTCGAACATCAAGCTTCAAGAGCAATGTCGGATTGAAAACCACCATCTCCTTCGTCAACAGCAACATCCTGCATTTGTGCGCCCGTCGCGAGGGCTGTTTCTGCCATCCCTACGGCAGCCATGTCCCGATCATCATGTACATATGCCAGCCGGTCCATTTCTTCGATTATTTGGTGTGCAATTCCTCCCATAAGGCTCCATTGATCGTCACGGATCCACGCTTCGACGTCCTGTGTGCAAGAATCGTAAAGTACTACTCGCTTAAACGTTTCGTGAAGATCACAGCGAAGGATGTGGCCGAATGGGGGGCTGCTCATGAAGGCTCCAATTTCCATTACTCGTCCGGGATGCAGGCTGTGATGCTCGCCGTCGGAATTTGCCAGAAGGTGAGTATTTTCGGATTCGGGAAGGCTGAAACGGCTAAGCATCACTACCATACTAGCCAGAAGGCCGAGCTTCCACTCCATGATTATGAAGCAGAGTATGAACTCTACAAGGATTTGATGGAGAGGCCTCACGCAATCCCCTTCATCTCAGATAAGTTCAAATTCCCTCCTGTTGTTATGTACCATTGATAATTCTGAAATTTGATTTCTGTTCTTGTTAGTTAGAAGTATCTTGTCCATTTTTGAAATGATTCGATGCCACTGATATTTCGATTGGCCTCCATGGATAGTGTTCTTTGTCTCTTTGTGCTGTTAGGTTCCTTTCACTCTCAAGTGTAAAGTTCAGTGAAAAGGGATCATTTTTCGATTTGCAGATCTTGAATCTTCTTGCATTTATTGCTTTTTACACCGTTGGGTTTTGTTCATTTCGATCTGGGATGGATCTAATTTGTGTTCTTGTTAGTTAGTTAGAAGTCCATTTGTTTTCAAATGATGGCCTCCATGGATAGTGTTCTTTGTGCTGTAAGTGTAAGGTTCCTTTCCACTCTCAAAGTGTAAAGTTTAGTGAAAAGGGATCAATATTTGGTTTGGGAATCTTGAATTTTCTTACACAAATTGCTTATCAGTTAATTTGTGTTCTTGTGCATTTTCTGAAATGATTCGATGCCTCTGTTATTGATTCACCTCAAATGTGAAAAGGGATCATTTTCAGATTTGGGGATCTTGAATTTTCTTGCATTTCTTGCATATTACATATTTGGGTTGTCCATTTTGATCTGGGATTGAGTTATTTTGAATTTTTGATGGTTGATTGGGAGAAATTGGAATAATTGGAAACCCAATTTACACGCACAAGTCTAAGATATCGAGTTTTTAGTGTTCCTACAAGATTGATGACTCTAGGCAAGCAAAACATGTGTCATCATACAACATTTCTGTACAGACAGGCAAAATGAACCCTTCACCTAAATGTTGTCCAAAACAGCACAAGTAGTTCTTGGCCTGGATAGCTGTCACTGTTCTTGCCAATCGGCTACTCAGCCGTGTCGTATTCGACGCCCTTCTCTTCGAATTTTACAGCCACCAAGAACCTTATGCTAACCTGTATCACAGAAGTAGTGACAGCCATCTTAAATATTGCAGTTACTATTGTTCTTTCAATTCGTCCTGTCTCTGTCGGTGTCTGTGTCTATGTTATTACCTGATTCGGGTCGTAAACAGCGAATTCGTTGTAGTCGAGGAAGCTGTCTTTGTGTTCGGAAGGAATAAGCTTCCCGGAGGGAATCTTTATGTCATCCTTCCACATAAAATGCTCCGATTCGTCTGTCTTTTTCCTACCAAGTCCCATCGCCCCGATCTTCTTCTCCTCCATCGTTTTCGTATCCTACAAAAGATTCGAAAACACTACATTCCCATCTGTCAAGAATGGACAATATGGATTTCTTATATATATATATACCTTTGGGGGACTAGTGAGCTGTGTCACATGGTCACCTAATGAAGCAACTGCTAAAACCAAAAATCCCTCCGGCCGGTCGACTGCCGTGAAACCATATCTTGCCGCTTCCGCGGCCGCGTCGGAGCAAACTATCGCCTTCCCAAACTAATAACAAACAAAACAATAATTCGAATAAGAATATATAACCATCTACGCTGTTGCACATAGAACTTATGCTTACCATGTACCCGGCCGCGGGGAGAAAACAAATCGCGGGCAAGAACCCTTTGTGCAAATGCCGCAACAGATTCGAGCTCCGAGTACCTATCGACAACCAGAGCTGAAACATCAATATCGACGTCCGAATTACCTATCGACAACCAGAGCTAAAACATCAATATCGACGTCCGAATTACGCCCGCCAAAAATGTCCATCACTCACCACACCATAGCAAGACTTTGTTCGGAAGCTTCTTGATTTCGTCGTACGACGGGCACGAGCTCAACTCTACGGAAAATACATTGTCAATCGACACTCCATAGCTCTGAGGAATCAAAACACAACACAAAACCCCGTTAGTCCAGCACCATTTCCAAGTATTCAAAACGATCAAAAAGTTCACACACATACGATCTCTCCGACTTTGACGGGCTCGTATGTTTTCTCGAGATAGTTCGAGACCATCCTATAATCGTCGGTATCTTTTTCTACTGCAGATATAGAGCACCCCAATTTCTTGTACCGTTCGAACAACGGATCATCCAACGTCGCGCCTGACATGTCCCCGATGAGTCGGGAAGCCACATTTATGTCCCGAACAGCCTCGACCACCGCCGCAGCCTACACAATTCCCCTCAACTCAGCATTCTACCTCAGTTCATTACAGGACATTTATGTCCAAATATGGTCAAAAAACTCACATGATTGGCTACATCCTCGAAATCCCTGAAAATGTCCGGCCTCACCGACGGTAGTAACGTGAAAATCCTCTGGCTGAAATCCGACCACATTGAATCGCGTCTAATCCCCGTCTCTTTGCTCATCCTCAACTTATCCACCAATTCCAGAACAAACTTCTCGCCTGCATTATCTTCCTCGTCAATAATCTTGGTTTTAAACAACAAATTCGATTGTCCCAATCTTACATGTTTTTAGATGATTTTCTGTGAGCATTGCCAATGGAAGCTCCGGGAAATCCAACCCCATCTCCATCAAAGCATATCTACAATGAAACCAACAATGTTCATCATAAAATTCAGACAATCTGAATTTCATCCAATTCTAACCACCTGTATATCTCCTGTCCACACAGGACTTTCATGAAATTCGCAACCCGCGGCTCGAGCTTGCAGTGCGCCGCTGCCACGCCGAGCTGCCGGAGCCCTAAACCACCGTGTCTAACATCAACTCCGTCGTCCTAAAATGCACGGGCGAATATCTCAAAATTTTCTTGATTCTTTTTTTTTTTTTTTTCCCCGAATGTAAGAAATAGAAACGTTTCCAATGTAGTACCATGTCGATAGGGAACAATTTATGCTTCTTCTTGTGGATTTTCTTCTCCCTCTCCCACGGCTCAAATTCGTTCCCTGTTTCGGCCTCGAAAAGCTCCACGAACTTGCGGATTGCCTCGTCGACAATTTTGTACTCATCCAAGCTTTCATGGATGCCTGCTTCGTCCCCGATTTTGCCTTTCTTGTAGTACAGATATAGGCGGTCATCTGGCACCATTATCAGCTGCATTATGCAGAAGCTGTTTGCAGAAAATAGGGTTTTTTTTTAAAAAAAAAAAAAAAAAAAGAGTGAGCATTCGAACAAGGAGATTGAATTTGAAGACATGGATGGAGGGTACGAGGTTGTTTGTTCGTGTGACTCGTGTCCGTACTCGTTGAGCCCGTGCCAATGCCAGCAATCGCAGGCTGCAAATGCACAGTTGTACAGAATTCCATCTTTCTCGAGTATTCGCCCGCCATGATCTTGCAGTTTGGTGTCTTTATGGACAGACCTCTTTCCGTACATTTTCAGCTGTTGTAATGGAGAATTCAGTAAAAAAATATTTATATATATGTATATGTATATAGATATAGATGTGTGTATGTATACCTCGGCGGCGATGGTGGCGAGGGCCTCCTCGCCGGCGTCCTGTCGGTAGAGAGGAATGCCTCTGCCGGCGACGGCGAGATCGGTGGCCACGTCATAGGAATCCAACGGCTGAGATTGCTTCCTCTCGATGCTGTCGCTTAACCATGCTTCCCTCACCACCGGAATTCCCTTCTCCCTGATTGATCAATTCCACGGATTCAGATTTCAGACAACTTTCGATTTGATTAAACCTTCAAATTGACTCGTTTAATTAGCTCTCTTACAGTGCATCCGACAGCTTCGACGATCCGCCGCGCTCTCGTTCCGCCGGTGACACCACTAGACAAGTCGCCTCTGTAAATCGGAAGTGTGATTTAACAGAACCCTAACATCGGAAAACTCGAGAAAAAAAAAAAGAAAAAAAAAAGAAGAAATGTTCGTCGTCACCAGTGGCTCACCGTTCACCGAATTCACAACCTTCCCTCCATGCCTCTCGATCTTCGACTTCCAATATTGCTGCGTGTAAAAACAAAAATTCCTTCAAAATCGAAGAACACAAATGCAAGAAACCGACAAAAACAAAAACATACATGCGTGCGGCTCAAACGCCCCGACAAGGAAATCAGCATTCCCTTAAAAGGCTTGTCGGCGTTCCGCAGTAAAGGGCGGGGCCGGTCCTTGGGGTCCTGGTGCTTCTTCAGCAGCTGCTAATGGAGGTCAAACAAGGAAGACGACGATCAAAGAGCAATTAAATAAAAAAAATTAATTAATTAAAAAAAAAAAAGCAAAAAACATCACATCAACGACGCCGGAGTTTTTGATAGAGTCCGGTAAGACAAGCGGCTTGTCCGTACGCGGAGGATCGTGAGTGTTGTAGATACAAGCCGACCACTCACTGAAAGTTCCTGTGCAAGTGTAAGTCGAATCGGAAACTTCCAGAAACCCGCCGCAGATGGGGCAGTCATCGAGCGGCCCGTAGTAGAGAATATCCTGACTGGAATTCGAACAAACGATGTAACAACAGCTTAAACCGAGAATCGCCATAGAAGAAGAGGCTGTAAATTGTAATGAGTTAGGGTGTCGGCGGCGGACCATCTGGGGACGACGGCGTCGTCGGAGCCGGCGGCGTTCTGACCATTGGCTTCTAGAATGTCTCGCATCTGCTGGATCGAAAGATGCTCGCGCGTGACCTTACAGAGCCTCTCGAACTCGGCTTTAACGTCTTCTGTAGATTTCCAATTGTTCTCACGACTTTCGGTTTCTTCTTTCTTTGTCTGTTTTTCTCGTTCCTCGTCCTCCTCGTCGGCTCGAGCCTTCTTCGGCGCGTGCTCGGCTTCGGCTTCGGCTTCACCCGTTTTAGCCTCGGCTTTCTGCTTCCTCGTCACCATTCTATCTCCTTCCCCCGATCTGGTTTCCTGAACCTGTTCAAAGTTTGGAGACCTGATCAACAATGGCGGATTTTATTAGATTTAAAAAATGAACCTAGTCGAAAATTGGGGGCAAATTAAACCTGCATTGATGAAAGCTATGAAACAAAACGAAACCCTAATTTGCATCAAAATAGCAGAGCAGAGAAGTGAAGTCTTTATAGAGGGGACTCACAGTGGGTATTGCTCACGTGCCGACACGTGCCCTCAAGGTTATGCAATGGCCGCCACGACGCCATGGCGGGAGCCCTTGCTTCCTGACAAGTGTTCTCCGCTTCCCAATGCTGGCGGGACGACGACCTCTTTTATTAATTACTATGATTTATCACAACATTATTACATTAATGGCGAAGGAATCCATTTCTGCAGGTCATGATGGTGGTCGGATTTGGACCGCTTGTGACGACAGCCCAAACTTTTCTTGGAACTTCAAATCCGACTGGTCATTGTGTGTTTTGGCTCTTTGATTTCGTGTCTTTTTACTCAAATTAGGGATTTCTAATTCTGTGATCTTATTGTTCATTATTTAAAAAAAAAAAAAAAAAAACAATTATTAAATTAAAGTTGCTTTATTTTGTTATTTTCTTTTTGTAAAAAAAAAATGGTTTGTTCTTTTATTTACTAACTATAATCTACACTTTATAATAAAATAATTTTTATTTTTTTACAATTATTTTTAATTATTATTTTAATATATTTTTTAAAATTTTTTCCAAAAAATTAAGGATAATGTAGTTTTTTATATTTTATTTTATACTTATTTTTAATTAAATAATACGCATTCGTCAAGTTAGAGAGTATATATATTTCTACAGTGGGACGTTCAATTATAAAATAACCATTAAATATCCAATATTTTTTACAAATATTTTGTTTACATCACATTGTTACTTTTTGGTATAAAAGTAAGGACATACCCACTATAATTAAAATATTATTATTTTTTAAACACCGTGCAAAAAATAAACGTATACTTCTTAGTCTGACGGAGGGAGTATTATTCATTAGTTAATGTGTCAATTCCCAACGAGATATCTTTTTTACGAGAGAGTATTAAAAATCAATTTTACTTTCAAATATCATATCAACATTTATTTATATCATTGTACTTATCAGAATTAAAAAATTGTATTATTCAAACTAAAAATTCAAACATCAAACAAACACAGCTAGCCAGTAGCCATTATTGGGCTGGACATCGATAATTTCTAAATTGGGCTAAGCCCATCTTAAGGAAGACAATATATTTGGGAAAGCAATTTGAAATCGCTAGGGATTGCATTTGGGGAACTGATTTGGGCGTAATTCCTTCAAATTTTATGCTGAGCAATTCGAGCAACAGTTGGTGGATTTCTCCGAAGGAAATTGGGGAAGGATACGAAAGCACGACAGTTCGAGGTATTACATATGTAGATGTATATGTTCTTCGTGATGGTTAATGTGAATGCATATGTTTTTGGTGATGCGCGGAATGTGTTCGACGTTATGCTTCAATGAATGTGGTGATATTTGGATTTGTTCTAAGTTCATCGTTATCTGATTGTTGGCTATGATTGATTTCAAGAGCTCTAATGTCTGGATTTTTGGTGTTTCCATTGTTGTAGACATCATCATTTGATTTATGGATTCGAGTTTGGTAACTTAACTGCCATCATTTAACCATTTTGATCATATAATATTATATTAGTGATTATAACATGTTATTTGTCTCTATATAAAAAATGACTTAAATATTTTAAATTTAATCGATTCTAAATACGAATGTACTTCTTTTTAAGTTTTTTATTAGTATAAAAAATAATTTTGCCGTTTTTGTTATTTGTATTTTAAAATGCTAGAATCCTAGGGGTGGGCAAAAGAATCGAACCGAATCGTTGAACCGAATTGAATCGAATCGAATTTTCGTTAACCGAACAAATTCGGTTCGAATACAAATGGAAAACTACATATTTGATATTTATTCGGTTCGGTTCAGTTTCGGTTTTTCATATTTTTTTCGGTTCGGTTAACCGAACCGAATATATTTATATATTTATCTTACTCCCTCCGTCCCAGAAATAAGTATCCATTTGCTTTTTGCATGTAGTTTTAGAAATATTAGTATTATATTGGGATATAGTAGGAATAAAGTAGAAATGACCAAATATATTGTAAGTTGTAAGGGTATTTGTAATGTTAGGTAGATAGTACAGTTACTAAAAGAGAAATAGATACTTTGTTATGGGACGGACTAAAATGGAAAAATGGATACTTTGTTATCGGACGGATGGAGTACTATATTCTAAAATTTATATTAATAATTATATCCGGTTCGGTTTCAGTTCGGATATTTGAAATATTTGCAAATATTTTTTATTTAATTAGAACTTTAATTATTTTTTATATATATTTTTTCTTAATTTCGGTTCGGCTTGAGTTATTTGCAAATACTACAAATATTTTCAGTTAACCGAATATGGTTCACGGTTTGAGTATTTGTTAGGTTCGATTCTATACCTGCATATTTTCAAATAATCGAACCGTGCCCACCCCTATTCGTCGCAGCTAGTTATTAAAAAATAAATAAAGAAATATATATTGTTCAGTTACCAAGATATGACAGTAATCAACAAATGTCTATATAGAAAATAACAAATATTAATATAATATATAATATATATTTTTATAACAAATTATATGATTATATGTAACAAATAAATATTTTGATTTTAACACAATAGTAATTTGATTCAATCAACAAACATTATTTGTCTTTATGATGAAATATTATTGTTTCAAATTAATACTATTTTGTAAGATTCTATTTGGTCTGTGATAAATTGTTAATTATTTTAGGGTGAACTGTTTCTTAGTCCCGTAACTGGACTCCCTTATCATTTTAGTCCCGTAAGTGGAGCATGTCGCAAACTAGTCCCATAAGTGAAGAATTTTTGTTGTTTAGTCCTTCGGCGCCGGAGATGCCCGCGTGGCTCGCCGGAGGTGACGTGTCCGTCAGGTGTCGAAACTTATTTTTAATTTATTTTAAATTTTATTTGTATTTTTTTTATTTGTTACAATTAAAAATAAAAATAAAATAAATTTAAAATAAATGAAAAAATAAATAAATCCACGTGTCCGCCAGGTGTCGCTGACCTGGCGGGACACCTGGCGGACACGTCACCTCCGACGCCGGAGGATTAAAACAGCAAAAGTTTTTCACTTATGGGACTAGTTTGCGACAGACTCCACTTACAGGACTAAAATGATAAAGGGTCTAGTTACGAGACTAAAAAAACAGTTTAACCATTATTTTATATCGACTTGCTGATGGAATTAAATCGACACGGTGCTAATTTATCCTGTTAGCACCCTAACCACCTCTCTCTCTCTATATATATATAACAAGTGTGATGCACAACAAGTTCAAAACTCTGAAAGGCAAATGAAGATATTTTGCATAAATATCGATATACATTTACAAGGGACCTTATACTACAATATATATATATATATATATTCGATATTTAAAAAGTAAACTAAAATAAAATAAAATAAAAAACAAAATTAGATATTTCCTTAATTTCTAAGTCTGATCAGAAATTTGAGAAGTGACTTCGAGAAGATTGTTGTTGTTGTTGTTGTGCCATCTGCAAATCTGTGCTTGTTTGGCATGAATTTTCATCTCCCATCATTGCCCTAATTAAAATATTATCATCATAAAATACACATCACCAATTACCACTACAAATTAAAATTATAACATACATATAAACTATAGCAATACTTGTTATAGAATAAATAATAAATAAATAAATTTTTGTGCAAGTAGTAGTACATTTTACTATTAATCAAGAAATTTTATCATTTTATTTTTGTATATTTGCAAATATAATTAGAGCAACTATACGACTATTTTTATTCATAATTCACTTAAACGATCAAAATGATAAGAGTATCGGCACTTAAAGATCTAAATTGTTTTTTTCTTTAGCCATAATGATTTTTTATCAATCTAAATCTAAAGTATAAAAAAGACTTATTATATATACATATATATATCTTACTGATCTCGCGGTCGGGACGCCCAAAGAGAGCTTAAAGCTCGTAATCTACCATAGTACTCGCCAATCACCAAGAAACATCGTGCGGCTTGTCTCACGGTTAGTATTCGTCGTAGCTGATGAAGCATTTGTTGTCGTAAATTATCCGCCTATACATTAAAAAATAAAAATAAAAATTACATTCATATGATGCACAAAGTGATTCTACCGAATAATTTTCACTATTTATCGAAAATTCTCTCATTATAAAATATTACAATTAGAACATATTCTTTTTTATATATATATATATATAAAGCATTAGATTTATAAAGGAGATATTTAATTACACAAATAAAGAAAAGAAAATGAAACACATTCTATATTTATATAAAATGACAATAATTTAAATAATTCAAGGAATCATATTATTATCCTATTCATTAATAAAAGGTGACATGTGCTTATTAGTTTCATGGTTTAATTTAAAATAAAAGATGGGATAAAAATATTTTTACACCAAATTATCAGGGAAAATTGCAAAAAGTATACCACACGTATACCTCATTATCACTTTTATCCTATGTTTATCTCTATAGCAAAATATATCTCACATGTTTTCAAAAGTCGTTATTTCTATCATTTGACCGCGCGTGATTGCGCGTAAGGGCGCATGGTGTGTATTTCATGCGCGAGAAAAGGACATAAATAACGATTTTTGGAAACATGTGGGATATATTTTGTCAGGGGATAAATACAAGACAAAAGTGATAATAAGCTATAAGTGTGAGATATTTTTTGCAATTTACTCCCAAATTATCACATGACATTACTAGTGTCAACATGATCTAGTCATGTGGCAATTTTCTAACATTAAATATTAATATAGACTTAGTTTTATATATTTATTAAAATACTTAATTTCACGTCAATATTAATATTTCGATACTAAATAATTTTTTCAGCGACTATTTCTATGCACGCTAAAAGAATAAGAAATAACTCATGCACAGCCAGAAATACATTTTTTACCTCATAGAAAACGTCGAACTATTCACAAAAGATTCAACATTACCTGTCGGACGAAGCCTTCGAGATTTGCAAGCTTTCCCAATGCTAGAGCCATATGGTGCATACTATCATCGATCGAGCTATTGGCTATGGTGTCGATCAACGATTGTTGTAGTTGCTCGAGTCCTTGCGTAAGCGCTTCCTCGGCTTGTTGGGACGATTGTTGCAACCCGTAAATTCCCATTATTTGTTGCTCCGTCAACGGATCAAGTTGCGCGATCAACATCTGTTTTTATATAAATACGGACATGTTCAATTCACGAATATACATATATATATATATTTTTTGATGTTCGAGGGGAATTCGAGACAATATTTTTACTAAAATAATCTTGATTAACAGGTCACCTAAGCTAAGTAAAATATTCTAAATTCTAAAATTACATCTGAATCAAACCGAAATTTAAAATTTGGTTTGGATTTTTTGAATTTCGAATTGGTTCGGATCGGCATACTAAAAATTTGAACCAATCCGAAATACGAAATATAATATTTAATATATTGTTTGATTATTATAGATTTAATATTATAATAGAAATAAAAACTTGAAAATTATTAATTATATTTTAATATACTTAATTTTTATTTATTATACATATTTGATATTATAAAATTATTATAAAAATTTAAAATTTTAAAAAATATAATAAAAAAATTTAAAATTTCGGATTCTCGGATTCTCGAATTTCTAATTTTCAATTTGGTTCAGATTAGTCTTTTCAAAAAATTCGAATTTTTGGATTGATTTGACTTTGATAAAATTCGAATGCTTACCCCTAAAGTCACATATACAAGTATGAAAAAAGCATAAAATAAAATTAAAATTAAAAAAAAAAAAAAACCTTAATTAGGTCAGATGGCCGGAAACCGCCCATCCAGAGGAAGCAACGCTCGGCGGGGCTAGCCCACATTCCCGTGATCAAATGAAAAACATCGGTCTTGGCGGCGACGCCCTTTAGGCGAAAGATCTCATCGTAATGTGCGATGTACCCGTCCGCTATGACCCTCAAATCGCTGTCGGATAAATGCGCTTGCAATGCCGCGCGCAACTCGGACATGTGCCGGTGGTCATCGTCGAGCCACCTCGCATATTCCATGTCGAATATCGCCCCGCCTGTAAATAAGATATAAAGTATTAAATTATATTTTTATCTTATTTGTTGTCTTTTATAAAAAATATTCTTTCAATCATTTTTTTTTTTTCTAAAATATATTTACACAGTGTTTTAGTTAATTTTTTTTATTATTATTATAAATTGACAATAGTTGCTGAATATTCAAAATAGAAAAATAAGATATTAGCTTCCAGACAAAAAAAATATATAATAAACTTGCAGTTAATTAACTTATTTACAAGAATACCACTTAATAAATTTTCTAAAAAACAATCATAAGTGGAAGAGTAATTTGTTTTTTCATTAAATATTATTTATTTTATGCTTAAAATACTATTACCTCTATTATTGAAATTTATTTTCTTTTTTTTATATAAAAATATTTTATTTCCTTTTTTTTCTTATTTATTTATTTTAACATAAAGAACAAAAAGTAATAGAAAGTACCATATTAAATGACAAAGGAAATTAGTTTCTATTAAAAATCATTCAATATTTAATTTTCTATCAAACATAAATAATTAAATAAATAAATGGAAGAAATCTTAACATCAAATAAGTTGCTTAACAAACTTGTAATTATAATATTAATGCTAACTAACATTATTACAAAACAAAGCAGAAGAGGACAAATTTATTAAAGCACTAATAACCACTACCATATTGTGTTCCTTATTTTATTTTTTTGCCTTAAATTTTGTAGGATTATTACATAAAGTATATATATTGTAAAATAAATAAATACAACAATTATTGTGCTATAAGCTACAAAGATTTGGTGACTGAATTCAATGATTTGTGGATAAAACAAATCAAAATGACAAATGTTTTATTTAAATATAAAACACAAAATAAATATACCAAACCTAAAAAAATAAGAACAATAAAATAAAGATCAATTTTTTTTTTCTATATAACGCATATCAATTCATGTAATTAGTATAAATAAATTATTTATCGTTTGTAAATTCATGTAATTAGTATAAATAAATTATTTATCGTTTGTAAATTATATTATACTCCCTCCGTCCCATATCTATATATCCATTTATTTTTTTCACTGAGTTTTAGAAATATTAATATTATATTGAAATAAAATATAAATAAAGGTAAAATGACTAAATTAATATATTGTAAATTGAAAAGGTATTTCTAATGTTAATAGATAGTACAATTACTAAAAAAAATTGATATTTTGTTATGGGACAAATCAAAATAAAAAAATGAATAGATTGTTAAGAAATAAATGGAATATAATTTATGGTCGTAAAACATTTGTAAAACCACTGTTAATTGTTTTTTAGAAGAAAATAATAATAATAATTAAATAATAAACATACATACCTGAGCTAATATTGGCACCTGTAACCCCAACTCCTCCCAAGAAAAGACCCTATTGCCAAAAAATAAATAAATAAAATAGTTCCAACACATTATTTATATTTATATTTACAAATTCAATGTCGTATATAGTACTAAAAATAAAAAATAAATAAATAAATCTTTATTTTTTTAAAAAAAAAAAAGAAACATCATATTTTAAAATTAAATAAATAAATAAGATACATATATACCTGTGATCTTGCTCTTAGAAGATCTTGTTCAAGCTGACTGAGCCTGATCCTGCTTGATTCCAGCTGCTGCACATATGCCTGAAAATAAAAATTAATTATAAAATTATTTAATAAAAAAAATTAGAACTATATATTATTTATTTATTTATTTTATATATTAGGGCAGGTGGGGTTTTCTTCAACTACTTAAGAAAATTAAAATTTGCTAATGTCTAAAAACTGAACAGAAATTAAATTAAATTCACCTTTTTCCTAAGTCTGCTCTTCCTTGCTGCTTCCCTATTTTGTGCTAAACGTCTCATTGTCTGTATGAATAGGAAAAACAAAAAATAATTAAAAAAATTCTAAAATTAAATTTAAAAATTATTTTATCATTATTAGTGTTAAAAAAAAATTATTGTTTATGCAATAAAATAAAAGAATGTACCTTGGCATCAAGAACTTTGTCTGAATTTGAACCAGGCCCTCTTCTCTATTAAGTTTGATGGGGGAAAAAAAAAAAAAAACACATTATATAAATAAATAAATATATATATATATATGTCAGTGTGTGTGAATGATTAAAATATAATTAATGGTGTAATATAAAATTAGAAAAATAAAAATAAAAATAAAAATTAATTTGGAGTTGTTCACTGTTTGTCAATCCTCATTCTTTTTTAATTTTTTTCCAGTCTTGTCATAATCTTGGAACAAATCATGTTTGTAATAATAGAAGGAATTATTATTATTATTATTATTATTATTATTATTATTATTATTATTATTATTGTAATGATTATTAAATTTTTATTTCATTCATAAGTTGGCCTACTAATTAAAAAGGTTTTTTGTTTTCTATAAAAATAATTTATGAAGGAAAAAGCTTGAATTGAATAAAAAAAATTAGGAGTGACTATAAAAATAAAAGCAAGATAATTACTAATTTAGACATATAGATACAGAAACAGAAATCAATTTTGAAGATTGAACAAAAAAAACACCAAATTATTACACTAATAATTGTATAATCAAAAGATGAAAAAGTATTGACTTTTATAAAAATTTAAAAATAAAATAAATCTGATTCTTACAAAGTCCATGACTCAAAACACCAAATAGATCTCTACCGTTCATTTCATCACACGAACGGTGTAGATCTGTACGGTTCTGGAGTCCATGGAGCTTACAAGAACCCATCAATTCATAAGCTTTTGATGCAAACCTTCTTGCAGTTTCTCGGATTTGACAATTTTAGACAAAAAAAAAAAAAAATTCAAAAAAATCAAAAATAAAAAATAAAATAATAATAATAATAATAGTAATATAACAACCAAAAATTCGATCTTTCCCCCATAAAAAAAAAAAAAAAAGAATGAAAAAAAAAAATAAAAAGAGAGAAGAATGATAAGAAATCCAAAATTAAAGTATGTTTTGTTTAGCATAATTTTTTCAAATTATCTGACTCTAAGTTCCCAAAAAAAATATATATATATATTTTTTAATGTTAGAAAATATTTTATTAATCATTATTTTCGTATTAAATTCAAATAAAAATTAAAAACAAATGCAAACCTTTTCCGGGATTTGTTTGGGGGGTTGGCTGCCGTCGGCGGAAATTCCGGCGTCCATCTGCGGCGGCGGAGGGCGGCGGAGGCGGTGATCGGAGTAAGAAGAAGGAGAGGCTGTGTTAACAGCTGATCCAGAATCAGTACTCTCTTCTTCTCCAATTGAACTAATTCTCTACACACCATTAATTGCAAACCCAAATTAGTCAAATTGCTGCCATCACCACCCCTCAATAAAAATTAAAAAATTAATATTTTGAAAATTTAAAAAAAAAAATTAATTTACAAAATAATCAAATAATCAGTTTCCAAGAAAGCTCCAAAACCAGTTATTAATGGATGAGCTCAATTCTTACACAAGCGGCCATTCAATACAAGAGGGGTGGGTGTGGATATATGGTAAGGGCGTGTTTGGCTGTGCCAGAAATAGAAAAAATCGAAAAATCGAAAAATCAAGAAAATTGAAATTACCGTGGAAGTGAGGTGCTGGAATCTCAAGGGCCAAGAAGGGAACATATCCAAAGTGGCAGCTGTAGGCCTGACTGCTGAGGAAGAATATAAAGCTGCAAGAAAATCAAAAATTACATTAATAATAAATGAATAATTCAAGAAAATTGAAATTTTGGAATTGAATACCAAACAAAAGGGGGTGTAACCTAACCCCCCTTTTTGTGCAAGTCTTTGTTGTTTATATCCATGGAGTCGGTCTAATTTCCATATTTGAATCCCCACGCCATTCAAAACCCTTGTCCAAGAATGATATTTGTGTAAGAAATGGAAGGGGGGGGGGGGGGTTGTTTGTGCAAGAATCTGAGAATCTCTGGACATGATCAGCTACCCACCCACCCCCACCCCACCCTACCCACCCCAGAAATATACCTTGTTTTGTAGTATCATCATTATTGATGGTTTTGGGGTTGTTATGAACTGATCCTTGCAGAACTATTGCCTCTTCAAGTTCTCCAAAATCGAAGGTTGTATTTCCACCAGACCCTTCTTGATTTCTTGAAATTGAATCAAAATAAACGAAACCCTAATTTCAGAAACCATCAAATTACAAGAATCTTGAATTTGAAAAATGAATTTTTCTTACAGGAAAGGTGTGTTGGAATGATGATGGAGCATGTTAGAAGTTTCGAACCTCCTTTCTTTCTCAGACCATTAATTCTGCAAGAAATTCTGAGATATCCCAAGTTTGTGTTAAAAGGGTTTTTCGAAGTGAGAAAGATCGAAGCTTTTGTTGTCAAAAAGGTGGGTGGGGGGGGGGGGGTGTTGGGGGTGTCTTTTTCATACAAAAAGTAAAATATGTATATATATATATATCCCTTGTTGGATCGATGGATGGAGTGGTCTTTGTCTGGCTTTATTTGCTGATATATGATCGATCGATCTTGTTATTGTTCTTGGGAGAAAACTGTCTGATTATTCTGTTGGGATAAAATTCCATTGGGCTTTATGATATGATATTTTGCAGTTCAGTGTGAGTTTCGTAATTATTAGTAATAAAATTATTACTCCATTTTGTGTAATAATTAATTAATTTCTGCAACACTACTCAATCCATGGTACAGAAGATCTTGTCCTTTCAGAACCTGTCAGGCTTTTGTGGGGGCTTCCAGAGTCCAGACAATATTATATATATACTTTCGATCCAACTAATTTATTTCATTTAATTTATCCACGAATTTTTAAATATTATATAATTAATAAATAATTAAAAAAATTATAGTAAAATAGTTATGATTTAATAAAATATTAATTATAAATTAAAATTAAAATAATTAAATAATTTAATTAAAATAAAAAATTATAAATTATAAATTTTAACGTATAATTAGAGCATATAATTATATTTAAAAAATAATAAATTATATAGAATAAGCGAAAATAAAAAAAAATCTGACAAATAAGTGGATTGAAGTAGCATATAGGCTAAATTATGAAGCATATACTACAAAAATACAAATTTGGATATGTTTTTATTATTATTATTATTATTTGAAAAATTTTAATTTAGATTTTATATTAAAATAATATATAATAAAAATGTTCTATTTAAAATATATTGTTTTTAAAAAATGTATAATTAAAAAATGTATAATCCAAATACTAGAAATTTTGGGTTTTAGTAGTAAATATATATATATAGACCCAAAATATTTTATTGTGTTGATTTAATCGAGTTAATAAATCAATACAAAGCAATTAAAATTTCGTCATAAAATATACTCCCTTCGTCCCAAAACTAAGTATCCATTTGCTTTTTGGACATAGTTTTAGAAATATTAGTATTATATTGGGATATAGTAGGAATAAAGTATAAATGACTAAAATAACCTTATTAGTATGTGTGATATAAATGTAATGACATTTGTGTAATATATTATAAGTTGTAAGGGCATTTGTAATGTTAGGTAGAAAGTACAGTTACTAAAAAAGAAAATTGATACTTTGTTATGAGACAGACTAAAATGGAAAAATTAATACTTTGTTATGGGACGGATGGAGTATAATATATCACATTAATTTGAAATTATTAGTATTTCATCATAATACATATAACATATATTGTGTTGTTATATACTTTCTTCGTCCCAATACAATAGTCTTGATTATCATTTTTGTTCGTTCCAAAACAATAGTCTCATTTTTATAAATAACTATATCACTGTAAACTATCCTTAATTTTTTCATTATTATTACACAATTGCAACTATTTTTTACACTAATACACTCGCAAGGGTAAAAAAGTCTTTTGCCCGTACTTTTTACCCACTATCAATATTATATCAATACTTTTTAAATTCCATGTCAAATATAATCATACTATACTTTTGGGACGGAAGAAATATTATATTAATATTTGTTATTTTTTTATAGGTATTTGTTTATTACTATGCTACTGAAATCACAATATACTTTTCTGAAATTATTTTATATTTTCTATATTTAACTATATAATATGTTATAAAATATGTGTCAAATTATTATATGTTGAAATTTCATATAATTATATAATATGCTTTTAAATATATATTACATATTATATTAATATTTTTCAATTTCATCGTAAATATTGACTTATTGAATCAAATTAAGGTTATGTTTGTTTGACTAAATCAACACGATAATCGAAGTAATTTTATTGTTTTATTATGAAAAGTAAAAAATACATTACCATATTATTAAAATTTATATCCAATTTAAATAAGTTTAATTTATATATATATTAAAATAATAATACTACATTCGTCTCATTAAAAGTTGTCATTTTTTATTTTCGTTTATTTTAAAATAAGACTATATTATTTTTTAATTTAATAACTGTACTGCCTACCTAAAATAATAGATATTCTTTCAATTTTTAATATATTATACAAATATCATTATTTTATATTGCATAATACTAAGAGTAATTTTTAATTTTTTTATTATAATTTAATATAATATTAATATTAAAAAAATTGTGCAAAAAATAAAACACATGACACTGAGAAAGTATAAAAATAAAAAGAAAAAAAAAATTGTGGGGCCTTATGGAAGAAGCCACTGGAATCACTGACTCCTACTCCACTCTCTTTCTGTAACTGCCTGTATTTTCTTTGTGTTTATTTTTCTATTTAACAACTCCCTGGAGTCGAACTCCTGCTTAAAATCTAGTTGATTAATAGTAAAAATTTTGAATTGATATAGTTATATGATGTAATATAAATGGACATTGATACGGTATTTTGAATATAATATAAAAGATAAAAAAAGTAAATATTTAAATTGCTATTTTTAAGAATTTTTTTTTGAATAAATAGTGAAAATCTGCATAAATATCTCGATGGGTGTGTTTGTTTGGAGGTTTGGATTTTGAGTTAGGATTTAAATAGTAAAAATTTTGAATTTGAATAGTTGTATGATCCGATATAAATAGGTGTTTGATGTGATGTTTTGAATGTAAAATTGAATTTTAGTATAATATAAAAAATAAGTATTTGATTTGATATTTTTAAGGAAAATGAGATAGAGCAGTGGATTGAAAATCTAATCCCAAACAAACACACACTTACTGTTTTACCCTTGTAGGCAGTAATCAATGAAAGACTCAGGTTATATTTATTAATTTATTTATTTTCATATTTTTAAACACAGTTAATTTAAAAATTCCATGCTTGAATGAGATAGGGTTTACTTTTGGTGATTTATATATTTCTGCAGTTGACAACTCACAGCCCTTGAAAATTTTTAAAACATATATTTCTATTCAATCGAAATTAATATAATAATAAAAATTTTCAAATAAAATAAAATAATCACAAAATAAGAAAACCCACTTGTAAGAATTATTGCAATATTATTAATCCAAAATTTGAAATAGATTTGTTTGGTTTCATCCCTTTTGTTGAAGGGTCAACATCCAGTCCCTGTCAATCAACACTAACCCCCATCAAGATTCTAAGCTCCCGGAGCGATCCACGCCGTCCATTGCATGCAATCAACGGTGTTGATCATCCCAGGATCCGAGGTCCGGGTCCGGCCAAGAAACTGCCATATAACTAGTGGATTTCATTACATTCTTAAAATTAAATAAAAACCCACTAATTGTCATTAACATTTGGCGTTGTTTTCTTGCTACATAATGTCCTAATTAATATCCATTTTTTCTAAAAAAATAAAAGGCAACTAACACCCCTACCCTACCCCTACACCCTACCCTACCCCACCCCACCCCCACCCACTTAGTAAAAAAATAAAAATATTTGTTTCTATTATAGGCAATGGGTCATAAGTATCTATCATTGTAGAGGGACAATGTATTAGTTAGATTGTCCTATAAGTTTAGTGTTTAGGACAACATATACACACAAAATATGCACATTATACATATTTGTGAAATGGGTTTTTGGGGGGTCCATTATTATAATGATTTTGTAAGAAAAAAAAAAAAGTTGTGGGAATTATTGATGCACCAAATTTTATTTTATTTTAATTTTTATAGTTTTTATGGGGAATAAATGTTTGTTTGCATGTATGTACGTACCATATTTGCAATGGTGATATGTCCCCTACCAATTATTCTTCTTCTATTTTATCCTCTCTATTAATGATTGCTTTTATTGCAAAAATTTTGTTTGATGTACACCTTTGTTTACTTTCTATTATTTTGTAATTAATATTATTTTGAGTCACAACAACACAAGCAAAACAATTGTCCCGTAGATGACAAGGACAGACTTGTGACCGGGAGATCATAAGTTCAAACTTTAGATGCTTTCAGATTGTGCATATTACATGTGGTTCGTCAAATATAATATATTTTATCGGGTTTAATTTACAAATTATTAAATTTCACTGAAAAATTTAATCAGAATGCACTTAAAAAGTAGCGACGAAAAATTCTCATATCGTAAATATATACTCCCTCCGTCCCAATACAATAGTTTTCTTTACCATTTTTGTCCGTTCCAAAACAATAGTCTTATTTCCATAAATAATCATATCACCACAAAACTACCTTTATTGTTTCATTTTTATTATACAATTACCACTATTTTTTACACTAATACACTCACAAGGGCAAAAAAGTCTTTTATCCATATTTTTACCAACTACCAATATAATATCAATATTTCTTAAATATCATGCCTAACCCAATTAAAACTATATTTATGAGACGGGGGAGTATATCTTATCTTTCACGTATGATTCGCCTAGTGTGACAGCAGGTGCAGATTCCCACGTCATTAAAAAATCTAGTAATTGTACTTGTATATTGATTAAGTCTATATCATAGTGAGATAATATAGATTGGAATTTAATTTCGATACATATTTGTTAGGGACTTCCGTTTGCGAATATATAGATTAATGACTGTGTTTTTTCTAACAGTTCGAGCTTTTAGGTGAGTCGGACATTCTGCATCCAAAATGATATATTCATATGTTAAATTACATGGGAGATAATTTCTATACATGATCTATATACAGTCCTAAAATAATAAAAGTGTCGAATGGAGATTAAAAAAAATAAAAAATAGTTTATTCAATTAGATAAGATCTCATTAGTACAAATAGAGAATAAAAGGAATCCCTAATTATTCATACAATTCGATTTAGAAGAAAGAAGAAATAAATATTTCAAAACTATTTAAATATATTTAACGACTATGATTATATATTCATAATTTAGTAACATCAATATTTAATAAACCAAATTTAGTCATTAGTATAACCAATTAACAAATTAAATTACTAGCTAGTTCTAGTAACAACAATAAACTTTAAATTATTTAATGGCTATCCCAATTGTTTTTAAGGAAATATATTTTTATATATTTATCAATATACTTACAAAATAAAAAAAAAGTAAATTATCCAACAACCAACACAAATTTGATCTCTAATTTTTAAATAAATTTTACATATGATCCAAAAATATATTCATTAATTATCAAATTAGTCGTTATCTAAATATACTAGAGCTGGCAAAAACTAATCCGATACGACAACCCCCGACACGAAATAATTGGATTTTGGTCAAAGATTTTCAACCCGTTTATGTATACGGGTCGACACGAAATCGACAAGATAATAAACGGGTTGTGTTAGGGTTGTGGCTCTCAACTCGAACCCGACATGACAACCCGATTATAATATATTAATATTTATTAATATATTTATTATATATGTAAAATAATCATAATTTAATAATTTTTTCATAAATTAATTTAAACAAAGTTCAATTTTAAATAATTCAACTTAATTCACGCTCAAACCAATAAAAATTAACATAACACGACAAAAAAATAATTTAATTTGAATCAAGAATTTCGACTTAAATATACATATGGGTCAACACGGTCAACCCGAACCCGACACGATAATAAACGGGTCGGATTATGGTGGAGTAATTTAACCCGTTTAAAGTATTCAATCCGACACGAATCGACTCATTGCCGGCTCTAAAATATACACACATGTACGTATAATTTATAGTTTATTTATTTGTGTGTTTTTAATTATTATTCATATTTTTAAAAAAATTAAATAGAAAAAAAAATGAACAAAAATACGCGTGGAATAATTTTTATTTTTATTTTTAAAGTTCCAATAGAAATTAATTTGTAGAATGATTAGGTTCATAAATGCATTCCTAAGATGCTTATGAAGTAGCTTGTTTGACTTTAGTACATAGTTTCTTTTTTTTAATAAATATTGTTGTCAATGGTCAACTATACCTGAAAATTTATTAAGCATTTGAATAAGTCTCCTAAACCAATAGGGATTAGGCAACTTAACTTTCTTGCCATAATTAAATACACAAATTAACATTAGTTGTTATGATTAATGCCATTTTGACCCATTCAATTTTTATTTTTTTTGGTGCTATTCTAAATCATTTCTTAATTTTTAATGGTGATTGTAAATTATTTTTAAGGTATTAATTATTGGGGGAATAATATATATATTTTTTAATTTTTTTATTTGAAATGAAAAATCATTATATTATTTGGTTTATAGAATTCTAGATAATATATATATATATAATAATAATAAAATATCACATCAAAATATTGTCTAAATTAAAAATCAAATAAAAATAATACTTTTTTTATTTGTAAAATTATATATACTTTTTATTAGATTATTTTCTTCAAACTTATGTTTATATTATAAACAACAAATATTTTTCTAGTCACTTAAATATTATTCATATTTTACCACATAATAATAATAATTTTAGGCTAAATAGCACAAAATCTACCCGTAATTTCATGAAATTACGCCAAATCCCCTATAATTCTAAAATTGCGTCAAACTCCCTCGTAGTTTCATAAACTCCGCGTCTAACCCCCTAAATGCGCACAAATTAAAAATAAATTTTAAAATCTCAATTTCTAAACCCCTCAAATTATAAATATATTCATTTTTCTTGTATTTAGTCTCAAAAAAATACTAAATATACTAAAAAATAGTTATTTTTATCAGGTTTTAAGAGTTTATTTTTACTGTTTTTTTATGCTAAATATAAGAAAAATATATATATATTTTTAATTTTAGAGGTTTAGAAATTAAGATTCTAAAATTTATTTACAGTTTGGGTGCATTTAGGTCAAATACTATTAAATAAGGACCGTCGAGGGGTTAAACGCAGAGTTTATGAAACCATAAGGGAGTTTGACGCAATTTAAAAAATACAGAAAATTTGACGCAATTTCGTGAAACCACCGGTGAATTTTGTGCAATTTAGCTATAATTTTATTAATATCATTATATTATACATATATTATCAATTAAATACTAATAATTCTTAATGAAAATTTCAAATCCCACATAACTTTTCCTTTTATAATTTATATTATCTCTCTCCCATATAATTGTCTTTTTGTTTTTTAAAAAATAGTTACATATATTAATCCCATTTTAAATATCATCAATTATAATTTTCTTAATACTAATTAATTAATTTAATTATCTTTAATCTTAATTTATCACTAAATATCATCATTTTATAAGTTTATTTTTCTATAATTAACATAAATTGATTTTATAGAAGATATAGAGTTTTAAATGTAGATTACTAAATTATTAATAATAAGTCATCATATTATTTTATTATTTTTTATATGAGTAGTATTGTTGGTATTTTAAATTAGCATTATATTTCAATAACATATATACAATATATATTATTTTATAAATAATAAAATTTTATATAATACAAAATAAATAAATAAAATTATATTTATTTATCTATCACTGCCATAAATTAGTTTTATAAGAAAATAGAGAATTTTAAAGATAAATACAAATATTTATTAGTTAAAAAAATATATAGATTTAAAAGTGATTTTGAACTAACTATACGTGTAAGATGTTAGAAATTTAATTTAATTAATTTTTATTTATTAATTGTGTTTAATATCAATAAATTTATCAAAAATATAAACAGACGTAAGCTTTTGTGGAATAAAAAAAAAAGGAAAAATGATCTAAGATGATATATTTTTATTAAAAATGATATAAAATATTACTCATTCCGTCCCAATACAATAGTATTGTTTACCATTTTTGTCTGTCTCAAAACAATAGTTTCATTTTCATAAATAATCATATCACTATAAAATTATCCATACTTTTTCATTATTATTATTACACAATTGCCACTATTTTTTACACTAATATACTCACAAGGACAAAAAAATCATTTATCCTTACTTTTTACCAACTAACAATGTAATATCAATACTTCTTAAATCCGTGCCCAACCTAATAAGATTATACTTTTGGGACGGATAGAGTATATAATTTGAAATTTAAACCAAACACATTCCAAACTTTAGATGTTTTCTTTTAAAGATTAATTAATTAGCATTTTTGTTTTAATTTTAAGTTTAAACATTTAATGTAATATTTTACATAAAAGAAAAAAATTATTTTTATTGAAAAATATATAATTATATAATAAAAAATTAAAATTAAATTTACATAGTGCGCTATTCAATAAAATCATATACTAAATATAGGTTTTAAACATCACCTTACTATTTTTATGTGACAAAACCTTACCAATCCTAATTATAGATCACACTTGCATGAAAATGACATTTTTTTTTTCATTTTATATTTATTTTTTTATAGTCAAATTAATATAAAATTCACATTTAATTTTATTATTTTTATCATTTTATCGGGACACAATTTTTTTTTTGTTTCACTCCCTAATTAAGTAAAAAATATATATTTATTTTTATTCTTTATCAATTTAAATGAACTATTTTATTTTCTATTTCCATTTTAGCTATCTAATTTTTCATAAAAAAAAATATATATTACATTCAATAGATTATTATTAACTTTTTTTTATCAAAATATCATTTCACCTCAAAATTTTTATAATAAAAATTAAAACATAAAAGAATACACACAACAAATAATACATACCAATTTTTGAATAAAAATATATTTGTGAAAAAAATAAAAAATAAAATATATCATACAGGAAAATGTGGGTCTTGTATTGTACATGAAATTGTATTGGCCTATTGGACCTTATTTAATTAGGCCCAATAAAAAGTGCTTATTGTCCTCCGTACGGAAATTGCCGGGAATAAAACCCCGCCGTTGACCGTCCGACGCCGGAGTTAAACCTCCGCCGTCGCGCAGTCGGTTCCTTCAAAATTTCCTCCATTGAAGATTTGAAATCAGCTGATTGCAGATGAAGATCGTTAAAACGCTTTATGTTTCTAGCTTGCTACTACTGCTGTCGAAAGTTCTTCACTGCGCCGATTCTTACAATGTAGGAGATCCCGTCCCGTTTTTCGTCAACAAAATTGGACCTCTCCATAATCCTAGGTAATACTTTTGATTATTTTTTGTTTGGTATGCTCCTCAAGAAGGATTGGATTCTGTGAATTTTGGTAGCAATTTGGTTCTGTAGTCTGGGGATTGCTCGGGTTTGGTGCACCGTTTGGTTTCAGCAACTTGATTCTGCATATAGTGTTCAATTTGAATTTATTTTCGATTAATTAGGACATGGTTATCACAAGGAATCATGGCTCAACGTAGTCAAACATCACTCACACGAATGAAAAAGTGCCCTCTACAATTAAGCTAGATGAGGAACAATCGAAATTCGACTCATAGAATTGTTACTATGGTTTATAAATTAACACTCATGGTTAATTACACATGAGGATCAATTGTATTTAGAACATTTCTGTTAAAAGATGAGCCATTGTGATTGTGTTCCTATGTTTTGTCAAGTGCTTGCAAGCTCTAAAGCTCAAAAAAACAAAGATATTTTCATGTTTCGGCTTGGATAAAGGTAATGTAAGGTTGTTTGCAAATTTGTTTGTAGCTGTTAACCAATCAAAATTACAAATTTCAGCTCGAAGGAGGAAGCTGTATAGTGCATCTAGCAACTTCTTGATATTTCACATTAAACAAGTTTTGAAGAGGTTAATCTGTAGTTGAATTATATATATTCGTTAGCACATAGTAATTTATCTTTCTGATGTCATTAAAGATTTATTTCTTCTAATAATGACTCTATCTGCAAACATTTTAATTGAAGAGTAGGAATGTTTGCAAACGGTGGCATCATATTGAAGGCATCTATTTCTTATCATTAATTAATATTGTATCCTTTACCGGAGCATCTTCAGTAGTAGGCGGCTGAAATTTTCATATTGCGGCATTCATTTGTTCATGCTCTTTTGTTTTGATATTGGTCTAGAGAAAGAAAAAAAATAAATCTAGACTGCAAGTTCTTCATCAATAATTGTTGTGATGGACATATGCCAATCTTTCTCTGGAAGCCCTCCTTCTGTTCATTATTCTAATCTATTTTCATTTATTTCAATTTTGCAGTGAAACATACCAATATTATGAGTTGCCTTTCTGCCATCCAGGTGGGGAGTGAACTTGCACAAATTCTTTGAGTTATCCCTCAAACTTTATTGAAGCATGCTTTGAACTATCATTTTCTCTTTTGATGTGATGTTTGTTATGTGTAATCATTGTGTATTAGTCGATATATGCATAAAATATCACCAATGCTACCGTAGCCTATACCCAAATTTAATTATAGATGCTATTTGGTTGCATTTGTGTTAAATGATGTCCTGTCTTCTTTAATCTTTTTTTTTTTTTTCCTTTTGAGTTAGTAAGATTGAAACTATATTTATGTATATAATTTAAAGTTTCACTTTTTTATGTTTGTAATCCATCTGATGTTGTTTTATGATTGAATCGTGCTAGAGGACTTGGATAATCAAGAATTTTGTGTTGTGTAAGTTGATATTTATTAAAATGGGAATGTTTATGTGTGTATAATTTGAAATGTTGAACTAAACACATGTAATTGTTTGTTAATGATTGAATTACAAATATTATAGTAAGAACAAGGAAAGAAAGTAATTATGGTTGTTCAAATTTTAGGGAGTAGAAAAGATAGCAAATGTTAACAAAAACAAAGCAACAATATTCCGGTAAACTGATCACATGGAAATTGGTGTTATGTTGTTGCAATAGTAATGAATAAGCCATTTAGTTGTTTGGTTACGTGTAATGGCTTTGGGATTTTTAAGTCATTGTTCTAATGGCATTTATCCAAATAATAGAGCCTGTATTTTAATTGACTTGATTTTTCATAACATGATTGTGCAACATAACCAGCATTTTCTCAGAGGGAATTTTATATGTTTCTTCTTGTAAACCTTATATTAGTTATGGATGATTCTGTTATACGGTACCTGTGTAAATTTGAAATGCCCTTTATAAAGCTTTTCCTTATCTTCTGAATTTGTTGGCAGGCCGAGTTCTTGAAAAGAAAGAAAGCTTCGGGGAGCTTTTAAATGGTGATCGGATGGCAAATGCTCTGTACAAGTTGGAATTTGCAGTGAACAAAACTGGCGAAAATCTGTGTCACAAAAAGCTTAGTAAGGATGATGTCGCGAAATTCAGAGATGCTATAAAGAAAGATTATTACTTCCAGATGTATTATGACGAGCTTCCCCTGTGGGCATTCATTGGAAAAGTTGAAGATGACAATACAGGACCTAAGTATTTTCTATTCACCCATGTTAACTTTTATGCTCTTTACAACGGGAATCATGTCATTGAAATCCATGCCTTGAGCGACCCAAATCGCGCCGTAGATGTAACAGAAGATGCTGCTCTTGAAGTTGAGTTTTCTTATTCTGTGTTTTGGAGTGAAACCTCGACACCATATATGAATAGAATGGCGAGATACTCGAGGGCGTCCTTACATCCTGTCCTCCAAAAGATTCATTGGTACTCGTTTGCTAATTCAATCATCACTGTCATTCTGCTCACGGGTCTTCTTACCATGCTCTTCACGCGGCATCTCAAGAATGATTTAAGAAAGTAATTTTCTGTGCTGCTTTTACTGTATCATTGCAGTCGAATCATCGTTTTTATAATTCTAAACTTGGTTGTTCATTGTTTTTTTTTTTTTGTTTTTTTTTTTCAGATGGTCGATTGGTGATGAAGAGGAGGATGAGGTTGGTCGTAAATACAATTCTGTGCACGCTTTAGTATGCCCGAAAAACATCCCATTATTCTCTGCAGTTATGGGTTGCGGCACACAGCTGTTGACCTTGTAAGCTGTTGTTTTTTACTTTCTCAATGAATATGCCAATGCTTATTACCGTTGAATTAACTGTTAAATATCTTTGTAATTGGCTCGTTCCACAGGGTTATCCTCTTATTTTTTCTCGCATTGCTCGGAGCCATCTATCCTTACAGCCATGGCTTAATCTCGACGTATACATTCACATCTTACATTCTTACATCTGCAATTGCTGGCTATACATCTGCATCCTTTTGCAGCCAACACGCCGAGACTGGTTGGGTAGTGATTCTTTATCTTTTACTCATAATTTGTTTTCATTTACTTTTTGCTACTCAATCTACAAATTATGAATAAAATTTTATGCAGAAATGGAGCGCCGTCTTATCAGGAATGCTCTTTATAGTTCCTTTTACAGTTGCAGCGTTCTTCCTCAACACACTGGCTACATATTTCGGAGTTACTTCAGCACTTCCTCTCGGAACAATATTTTTAATTCTTCTCATTTACTTCTTCGTCGCCTTGCCATTACTTGTCTTTGGTGGAGTGATTGGACACCGCCACAAATCTGATCTGCACGTGCCGCCTGTCGCCAAGAAATATGCAAAAGAGGTTCCCTCGCTCGCCTGGTACCGTAAAACTCCAGCCCAAATGTTCATTGGAGGGCTTTTACCTTTCAGTGTCGTTGTCATGCAGCTGCACAACTTATGCAGTACCATATGGGGATACAAAGTCTACACCTCTCCCGGGATTTTGTTCGGTACATTCACAGCTCTTGTTGCGACCACGGCCTTATTGAGCATTTGCTTGACGTATTTTCAGTTAGCCGGAGACAACCACGACTGGTGGTGGAGGTATGCTCCCTCCCTCCTACTGTTTCGTTTAGATAGAAATTTTGAAAATTTTTGAATATAATATTTCCTTCGTCCAGCTAAAAAGTACTCCCTCCGTCCCAGCTAAATTGACCTATTTAGCTTAGGGACGGAGTTTTAGGTATTGTGTAATTAGTAAGTAATTAAAAAGTGTATTAGTAAAAATAATTATGATTTAATAAAACTAATTATCGATTAACATTATGACTAAATAGTTAATTAAAATAAATAAATAAATAAATAGATATGAAATTTGAAATGTAATTAATATATAATTATATTTAAAAAAAAAGAAAGGACAAATTAGGTGAGACGGACGAAAATAGAAATATGAGACAAATTAGGGGGAACGGAGGGAGTATATATATTTACTTTTTGACGAGTATTTTAATTGCAGTGAATAGTTAAAAATAGTATAAAGATAATAGTGTAATACTATTTTTAGAAAAAAGGAAGTATTTTTGAAATTGTCCGAATCAAAATATGTATACTTTGTTCGTGGACTACGGAGGAGTATAAATATGGGTATTTGATGTGATATATATAATTTTAAAAAAATTACTTTGATAAATAGTACTCTTTCCGTTCCGATACAATAGTCTTGTTCACTATTTTTGTCCGTCCCAAAACAATAATCTTATTTCCATAAATAACCATATCACCATCAAACTACCGTACTTTTTCATTTTTATTACATAATTGTCACTGCTTTTTACACTAATACCCTGACAAGGACAAAGAAGTCTTTTATCCATACTTTTTACCAACTGCCTATGTAATATTAATATTCCTTAAATCTCGTACCGAACCCAATTAAGATTATAATACTGGGACGGAGGGAGTAGTATAAAAAGTTTCAAAAGTATCTACGTAAACAGAATTTGACAATGCCCTCTTTTGACCTGATTGGATGCCTTGTTGAGCATTTGTTTAGAATTTTGGAAATGGTAAAAAATTTGGATATTCGACATAATGTTTCTAGAGAAAAATTGTATTTGATATGATTTTTTTTTATTACTATTGATAAATAGCGTCAAAAGTTCTAAAAGTATCTATAGAAACAACATAATCTAAGTGTTTTGCTGCTTATATTTTATGTTATCATAATTACTCGCCCATTTCATTTTGACGACGCCCTCTTTTGATCTGATTGGATCGCCTTTTCAATGTAATTCAGGTCTATATTATCCGGGGGCTCGACCGGGATATTCATGTTTGCCTACTGCATATACTTTTACCTGAAGTCATCGGATATGCGCGGCGCGCTGCAGGCATCCTTCTTTCTTGTATACAGCGGTTGCTTGTGCTATGCATTCTTCTTGATGCTCGGAACTGTGAGCTTTCAGGCGTCGTTGCTGTTTGTCCGGCGCCTATGCCGCGCCGGTAAGAACGAATGAGGTTGTTGTCTTATGATGTCCTGCCACCCATCCGCAGGTACGCTATACACACTCACTTTTATTCTACTAATTTTTTGTTTGTCACTTTTTTGTCCTAATACATGCTAGAATGATTGAAAACGGGGTTTCCAATTGTACTAAAAAAATGTTTGGTTGATCCATTTTTCTCTGGAAAAATACACTCCATTTTCTCATGTATTTGGGTTTAGGTCACATCCTCTTTGCTAGAGCATGGAATTGGTCTTAGGGGTTATGTATAGGAGTCTAATGCTGTGTTTTGAATTAAAAATTTAATCTTTAATATAATATTAGTATTTTTTTTTTTTGAAAAAAAAAAATGATGAATTGCACAAGATCAAGGCCAAACCTACCAAAATAACAGATAAAAGTGCTTGTGGTTTGAGTGGTTTTATGTTTGTTTTTGGTGTCAAATCACAAATAATAAAAATGGAAGAACTTCAGATCAGAAATTTCAAAGTTCTGCAGAAAAATGTCAAAAATAACAAAAAATTAAATATTTAATATACTAGTTTTTTTAAAATAAAAAATAAAAAATCATATATATAGTATATATATATTTTTAAAGTGTTTATAAATAACAACGGACACTCTTTATAAATATTATTAGTTATGATATTATTATATTATTTTTTTGTATAATTAATAATATTTATATTTTTAAAGTACATTTAATATATATAATTGCAAAAATTAAAATATATATTTAAATATTTAAAAAAATTATATAGCCATTACAAAATATATGCAATATGACCCTACTCATTTATATGTTATATAGTTAATTAAGTTATTAGTTAATTAGTTTATTTATATTTGTTAAATATATTTTGATTTAATAATTTTTACTAAAAATAGAAAAATATCAATTCACAGAAACAATTGAATAGTGACAAAGAAAATATTATAATTACACTGGCTATAGACTTTTAGGAAGTAGTATTTTTAATATAAAATAAAAATCAAATACACTCTAAATAATTTTTTTTTTTTTTTTAACCAAAAATACAGACCTTAAATATTTGATTTGATAGTTTCAAATAAACAAATTCTTTATATATATATTGAAAGACCAAGAAGGAACTTAACCAAAGCATACCCTTCCATTCTCGTCATCATCTAAATTTAGAACATACAAAGGGTAATTATTGACTGACTGGATAGAACATTTCATCTGGTGGAGTAGAAAATGATGTCCAGAAAGTGTTGAAATCAGTTCACTGTGAAGGTAAAAAGAAAAGCTGCAAGAGAACATTCATCTGTTCTTTGCAGTCTAAAGGGTTAAAAATAACATCAAACTCACAGTAAAAAGAAGAAGCTAACGTAACAATTATTCAACAAACACCAAAATGTGTCTTCTGTCGAGACGAGTAGACAACGAAGGCGCAAATGCTCGCTTCATTCTTCAGATTGTCTCTGCCCCAAAACTGGAATATCCTCATAGCGCTTCTGTAGTGTTAAAAACTTATTAACAACACGGATTATTATGGATGGATGACTTTAGCACACGTGACTGTGTGTAAGGAAAAACAGTACACATAATGAAGCTCGAGATTTAAGCTATGGAGAATGTAAGGATTGGTAAAGAAGAAACTACAGGTTTATGATGTGTTGCATAATTGATTGTGTTTTTTTTTTTTTTTTTTTTTTAATGCTTCATTCAATTAAATCATACTACCTTCGTCATCGCCTTTGTATTTTACAAAGGGAATGGAATGCATAATTAAATTATACTCTCACCGTGCTCTAAAGATCACATTTACTTCTTGCGTGTTGATATTTGAATATTAATTATTATATCAAAACGTGGTACAAATTAACAAAAAAAGGCCAAAAATACTTCTATTACTGTCTTATAATATTAATATAATGACATTTGTACAAAAAATTATACAAATATAAGGATATTTTAACGTTAAATACAATGACACAAAAAAGCTAAATATAACCCTTAAGAGGCGGACAAAGAAAGTATTTTTTTTTATGCCCAATTCAACACAATGGAAGGTAAAATTATTATGTGCTAATCTCAATGACAACCCAATAACTGCTAAAACTTGTAAAAGGATAATCAGGAAAAGTTTCATAAATTATCAAAAAAAACTTTCAACAATATAGATTCAAATACTATACATGTCATCACATAGAAGATCACAAATCAATGCAACAAAGAATGAATAAGCTCGAACAAACTTTGATTTTGCACAGAAAAGGATAGCCATCAAACCATTTTGCTTCATTACCCTGTATCTTAATAGTAGTCATTTAAGCTTATCTAGCCATTGACTCGAACCTCATTCTATAGATTTTATAATCCGAACCGTCTAATTTGACAAACACATGCTACTTCAAACATTCACACACTATGCAATTAGAAACATGCTAAGACAAGTAGTAACAAACAAATAACACCAAACAAAGATAACACCTCTTGATTTCAGAAGTCGAAAGAAAACACAAGAAACTGGCCGAAGCATCCCATGTAAGCCGTGTAAGCATACCCAACAAAACAAAACCCTAGGTGACATCTCAATCCTTAGTATCTAATTCAATTAATAAGATGGGAGGATGCTATATACTACAAAACATTCAGATAATTGTATGATTAGCTTATAATCCCTAATATTAGTTTGATAATACAAACTTTAGTACAAATATTATTATGGATCAATCCCGGGTTTTGATCTATTAAAGTAAACGCTTGATTAGGTGGGATACAATAATATTATACACACTAATTAACCAAACTAAAACACATCCCAAATGAATCGATCTCTACCCTTTCCAACAGTATAGAGCAGATTTTGAATTGTGCAATATGAAGCAAGAATCTCACGCATGAATCGGTTGAAGAAAATAGCATACCACAGTACTAACCATAAATGATCAAAAAAAGTTACTCAATAATGAACAAAGATTGAGAAAATACCCCAACATTGACGTGCTCCCATAGGGCATGAACGCCGCGATCCACAACCTGAAACCAAAAACGCAGAAATAGATATATCCATGAAACCAAAATTTAAATAGGTAACCAAAAAATTTCTCCCCGTTTCCCATGGCACATCACAAAAATGTCTCAGATCCAACAAAGAGTACGAAAACTAGAACACAGGCACGCCGATAAATCAACCAAAACATCGAAAACAAAAGTAAAAATTCGATACAGACCCGTTCCCCAACGAAGGCGCCGACGACGACGAACGTAACAAGGACAGGCGTCCGGCGCATAAACACTCTGTACAAGCCTTCCCATACGCCGCCGCCGCTTCTCCTAGCTGCCGATTCCATTTCCGATCCCAAAAAAGAACTTGTTCGAATCTGCCAATCTCGCGTGAGGAATGAGAAATGGGAGACGGCGAGGCTGCGCACAATCGATTTATCCCTCGATACTTTTCAACCCGGAATTTCAGCGTGGTTGTTAGATGACCCGACCCGGCATAGATCCGACCCGAGTACGCAATCTGGTTAGGCCCATTTTAAAAAGGCCGATATTATTTGGGTCAACAAATTACACTACTGAGCTCCAATTAGTCCTATTTGGGCCTACAAGAAAGACCCATTTACGCTCTAGGGTTACTAGTGAGAGTATCTCTACTACAATTTTCAACCCGGAACGTCAGCGACGTTGCTAGATGGCCCGACCCTCCGTCGATCCGACCCGGAAACGCAATCTGGTTAGGTCCATTAAAAAAGGCCGATATGATTGGGCCTAGAAAATACACTGTTTAGGCCCAGATGGTTTGTTTTGGCCCATAACAAGGCCCATTTAAGTTCTAGGGTTTTTAGTGAGTGTATATCTCTATGTTATAGTTCATCAAGTGCCTCCCGTCGTCTCATTCTCTGCAAACCCTAATCCGGGGATTTCTCTTCAGGTACCTCTCTCTGTCTGATATTTTCTACGCCGTGCTTCTTTCGATGTATGTGTGCGGGAGATGTGTTTGTTTTTCGTTCTTGAAACTAGCGTTTGGATGCGTACTTGCTGATAGATTCGATTTAATTTTTTTGTGGTTTGAATCAGGAGCGTGCTGGGAGAGAGAGGATCTTGAACCATGAGGTAAGGGTAAATTTGATGTATTTTGGATGATTATGTTAATGTAATTAATTGGATTGATTTTCATCGGTATTAGAGTTTTTGAGCTATTATCTATACATTAATAGTGTGTGGATGCTATTCTCTGCAACGCCTTCGGTTTTCGATTCTAACGAGATGATGTGTAAATTGCTTGGCGCTTTTTTTGGTTTTAATATGATCTTTTTCAGTATCTATCGTTCATTTGATGTATGTGTGTTGGGAGACGCTGTGCGTTAAATGGATTCATAATTGCCCAAGGAAAAAAAGAAAAAAGAAAAAAAACACAGCTTATAGTTGTAATCTGTTTGTAATATTCCTGCAGTAAGCTTCAGAGTGATGCCTTGAGAGAAGCAATCTCTGTGATTGTTTCGGACTCAAAGGAGAAGAAACGCAATTTCACGGAGACAGTTGAGCTCCAGATTGGGCTCAAGAACTATGATCCCCAGAAGGACAAACGTTTCAGTGGCTCAGTCAAATTGCCCCACATTCCTAGGCCGAAAATGAAGATATGCATGCTTGGTGATGCCCAACATGTTGAAGAGGTATATAACTCATCCATGTTAAATTGTTAACAGAGGCCCAAAATCGAAAAAAAATTGATTACGCTTTATGTTCTATACAGGATGATATTATTTAATTTTTACTGTGCAATTCATGTTTGTCTAACGCGATAAAAATAAGCAATTTTTATGATCATTGTTTCTGTTATCTACTGACTCTCAACAAGTATGGAAAAGCTTATTTCTGGAGTGTATATCATGAAATATGCTTGATTTTTCTTTATTTATATTGAAATGTTTACATAATCGGCTTTATGTTGTGCTACAAACAACCTTAATTTGGTTGGCTTTTTTAGATCTTCCCGAGCACTTGCGTTAGCCAACTCGTGTGAATATATTGTACAATCTTTTTTCCTTAAAATTTTGTTTCTGTAACTATTTTAGTAACTACTTGGGTAAGATGCTATTGGAAACAACTTTTTTATTAGACTGTCTAAATAGTCGTGTATCAAGAATCAGTTTGAAATTTCTCTTATGGTTTTCGATTCTTTCTGCAGGCTGAAAAGATTGGGCTCGAGTCCATGGATGTGGAGGCTCTAAAGAAGCTGAACAAAAACAAGAAGTTGGTGAAGAAGCTTGCGAAGAAGTATCATGCTTTCTTAGCATCAGAAGCTGTTATCAAGCAGATTCCCCGTCTCCTCGGACCTGGTCTGAACAAGGCAGGCAAGTACCCTGTCTTAAGCAGCTCCATTCCCTACAATAGCATAGTGTTTAAATTTTGATAGAATCTTTTTCTCTCGCCATTATCATACATGTTCTGGATTGCAATGATGACGAATAATGTCTGCTTATACTGTTTATTTGACGATGCAGGCAAGTTCCCAACACTTGTGACCCACCAGGAATCTCTCGAATCCAAGGTGAATGAGACCAAGGCTACCGTGAAGTTCCAATTGAAAAAGGTTCTTTGCATGGGTGTTGCTGTGGGAAACCTTTCGATGGAGGAGAAACAGATTTTCCAGAACGTTCAAATGAGTGTCAACTTCTTAGTTTCACTTTTGAAGAAGAATTGGCAGAATGTGAGTCGTCCGTCCATCTATATCTATATTCTTAATTCAATCTTGCTGCTATTAACATAGTTCTCGATCATCTAATGGTCACTCTTTGTTTTCGATTTGTTTGCATCAGGTGAGGTGCTTGTACTTGAAGAGCACAATGGGACGACCCCAGCGCATTTTCTAAAGGGTTTATTCTCTTTTTCGATTTGAAGTGAAAACAATGTGATGCCTGTTTTTAGGTTTTGTATGTTTGGATTGGATCATCGACTTCATTATTTATTCCCGTGTTTCAGATGCTTTGATTTGCTCTTTGAATGCATGCCGAATTTTGCTGTTTATTGTTCTTATTGTTACTGTTTAGCTGCTCTGCTGGTTGCAAAATATTTTTACTTAATTCTCTGTTCTATCATTCTATGGTTGGCTTAGTTGTGTTTTTGGGAGTATTTTAGGATTTTGGAAATAATATTTTAGTTGAAATAGGTTTTTGATCTGGTTTTAGATGTTTTAAATGCAAAATGTGTTTGGTATATGTTAATTTTGTTATATATTTGATTGGTGTTGTTTTGAAATTAATTTAAAATAGAGTGTTAGGTTTATAAATTTGTTCACTTAGAGGTGTCAATTTGTATTTTCGGGATGTGTTTGTGTTTGGTTGAGTTATGGGTGAAATGCTTTTGAATCGGGTTTAGATCATCTTGTATCAGGTGATCCGAAACCTTTTGGTACAAAACAGATCCAATTTACTTAGGGTGTGTTTGTTTGGGGGATTGGATTGGATTTACACTGTACATCTAATCTTTTTTTCCAAAAAATATCAAATCAAACACCTCTTTTTTAATTTTTTATATCATATTAAAAAATAATTTTACATTCAAAACATTACATCAAACAACTATTTATATTATATTATACAACTGTTTAAATTTAAAATTTTTACTATTCAAATTTTAAACTTAAAATCCATATCCCAAACAAACACACCCTTAGAAGAATTCAATTTTAATTTTATTTTTTATATTATTTTATATTTAATATAATATAAATATTATTAATTAAAATAGCAATAATATAATTTTAATTAGATTTTGCATTCTTTTTATTGAAAATAGTAAAATTATATTTTCAAATTGTGATTTTATTTAATTGAATTTTATTAATTATAAAATTTCTTTAAAAGAAAAATACTATTTTCATCTACCATCAATTTACCAATTTTTTTTGTGTTATTATTTTTAATATATTTCCTTTGTCTCATAAATATAGTTTTAATTGGGTTAGACTTTTTTACCCGTATTAGCGTAAAAAGTAGTAGTAATTGTGTAATAAAAAAAAATAAATAAAGGTAGTTTTACAATTATTTATGAAAATAAGACTCATTAAATTACATTAGTATTATAAAGAAAAAATATTTTTGTTATTTTCTTTTGATTTATAGTAGATTTTGTATAATAATTAATATTTAAATATTAATATACAATAATAAATGGGCAGATTGACAAAAAAAAAATTGATAAATTGACTGTTGACCTTAGTATATATTTTTAAATATTTAGGGTTTTGTTCTTTTTATTTTTTTATTTTTTATTTTCTTATTTACAAGATTTTAAAAAAGAAATTAAAAAATTAGTTCCTCTATCCCAAATACGGTTCCTTAGATATAGTAGTGAAAATAATTATTTTTTGATAAAAATAAATTAAAATTAAAATTAAAATTAAAATAAATAATTAATATAATTAAAATTAAAAAAAATTAAATTAAAAATTTTATAATGAAATTAAAGGGTATAAGTGAGACAATCGAAAAATAAAAAAATGAACAACAGTGTACATTTATTTTTCTTATATTTTTTTACTTATTTTTATATATTTTATATTAAAAAAAATAAAAATTTAATTATTTCACAAAACAAATCATATCCAACTTTTGAGTGGAATGAATGCATATATATTGGGAATTGTAATTTGAAATCTCGATAATTATTAAAAATGTTCTGTAATATTCCATGGCTTGAAAAGTATTTTTGGCAAACAAGAAAATTTAGATTATTTTATTTTATTTTCTCTCTTTTCAATTTAAAAAACAAACAATTGCAACATTTTATTTATAATATTAGAAATAAATACTACTCCCTTCGTCCCACTCACTAGTTGCAGTTTCTATATATCCCACATTTCATATCATTTTTTTTAAATATTACTAATTTTAACCTCATTTTAAATTTTTTAATTTATTTTTAAAATTTTAATTAAATTAATTAATTATTTTAATTTATATTATATGTTAATTAATTTTACTAATAAATTTTAATTATTTATTAATTATATTTATCCTAAATCTCGTGTCTATAATAACGAAAATATTCAATGTGGGACGGAAGAAGTATTAGATATGGGTGTCTTTCTTTGGATAACTTTAAAAAAAATTAATTTAAATTTAATATAAAAATAATATTTGATGAGATGTTTTGTAAGAATTTTTTTTTTTTTTTAAACGTATAATCCAAATAATAAAAATTTAAAAAACTTTGGTAAAGAAACAAATTGTCTTTTGAAGGTAAAAGTAATTTATTATATAAAAAATTATATATATATAATTATTTAATTATACTTTTTTTTAAAAAAGAAAAAATTCAGTCGAAATCCCCCAACTAATTATTTACTAGGGTGGATTTTGAGGTAGGGTTGGTGAGTGCCCTAACATATGAACAGGTGCACCTTTCTGTCTGCGGTCATATTTACATTTCTCCAGAAGCTTCTCTAGACACTCCTATTTTTGCACCTGCTGCCCTCTCCTCCCTCCCTACAGATTCAAATCTCTCCCTCTCCTCTGGAATCTTAGGTATCTCCGCTTCCTGTTTTTGAGTTTTGGTGTTGAGGATGTTTGGGTTAATGGATTTTTGTTTTGCTTTTTACTCTATTTGGATTGTGGAAGAGTAACGACATTTTGCCATGTTCTAGGTTTTGCTCGATCCAGTAAACATTCTTGTTGGATGATTTATTTTTTGCGTTTATTTAAGTTTCTATGCTTGAAGCTGGTTTGGAAATGGTTTCTATCTACTAATTTTGATTTCGTTAGTAAGCTGTGTTTCGTGTTTGAGACTAACTGCAAATCTGGAGGACTGCTTGTGTTGTGTTGTGTTGGCTGCATTAACTAATTTTATGTCTGGGATATACTGGCTTATTGCACGATTCTTTTGTTGTTTTTATGCGATTGTGTTTTGGAATTATTCTAGTGAAATTTGCTTTAGGTTAAAAAGGTGCAATTGGGGCAACGTCTGTAGTTTGTCTCTATACCCGAAGACGTTGTAGTTTCTGTCGATTTTGTGATAGATATTCATCACCTACTTCTGTTTAGACATGAAGACTTAATTATAGTTTCTGCCCATTTGTAAATGATTGATTTATTAATTAAGTAATTTATGTTATACATTAGGTTGTAGTAATATTAAGGCTTGATGATGCAAAGAAAATGACCACATGAGAATGACTTCTTGTATCATGGATACAAAGGCTAATTCATTTTGGTCTTTGACCATCAACAATGCTTTTAGATTAGATTTTGGCCCACTGCCTGAAATGAGTTGCAGAAAGATTTTGGTGGCTTGTCTAATGGTTTTGTAATTTGTGGACAGAAATGAGTGCTGCTAGGGGCTCCGGTTAGATATAAGTTTTAAAACGTTTGGAGTTTTTGGGAAATTTTGAAAATAGTAAAAATTGTGTTGTTTGATGTGATTTTGTGAAAACTAAAAGAATTCGATGTGATGTTTTTCTCAAATGTTAGTGTTTTTGGGGATTTGCTTTCTTTATTTTCTAATTATGTGTTTTTTCTCCCATTGTTTTCTTTTCAACTTCTCCTATACATCTTTTGCACTGACTATAAGCTCATTGGATAAAATGAGCTAGTTAAGTTTGTTCGCTATTATGGTTTTAAGTTGTAAACATCAGTTCGTTAACTATTTGATGCAACAAAATCTTCTCTTTGAGTTCATTTTTTGTAAATTTTGTGGAGCCTCGAGTGAAGGGCACAGAGACATTGTACTTGCTCTTCTCATAATGCTCCAAATATTTACTGCTCTGTTGCTCCCGAAATGGATGACCATTATGGTTGATCTCATTGGGATTATCTGCATCAGGCATATATTAGCAATCATATCCATGACCGAGAAGCCACATTTATTGTAGAGGGATGGTTTAGTTCATCTGTGAATCTACCAATTGGATGTGTTTGTTTGGGGGGTTTGGGTTTTAAATAGTAAAATTTTGAATTGGACTAGTTATTTGATGTGATGTAAATAATGTTTTGAATGTAAAATTTAAATTTTTTGTTGATATAATGAATGATAATTAGGTATTTGACTTAATGTATGGTTGTGGAGAAAGTTTTTGGGAATTTGTTAAAGATGTTACGTAGGATCTCTCAATAACAATGTCAATCAACATACTGATAAGATTAATTATTTTCTTTAGGAGAAAAAATGGCGACTGCGGTGCTTCCCACTGTATGCATGTTTGGAGGTGCTACACAATCCCGAATCAAAACTACCTTCGTCAAGAATACATCCGCATTGGGGTCAGTAAAGAGCAAAGCAAAAGCCTTTGGCCTTTCAGCGAAGCCTAACTTCAGAGTATCCGCCATGGCCACATACAAAGTGAAACTGATTGGACCTGACAACACAGAATTTGAATTCGAGGCCCCTGATGATTCATACATCCTCGACTCAGCCGAGAATGCAGGTATCGATCTTCCATACTCGTGCAGAGCCGGGGCATGCTCCACATGTGCTGGGAAACTGGTGTCTGGCGTGGTTGACCAGTCGGATGGCTCATTTCTCGATGATAACCAAATGAATGAGGGATACTTGCTGACGTGCGTTTCTTACCCGACATCTGATTGCGTGATTCATACACATAAGGAGAGCGACCTCTACTGAGTGAGTATTGCTTTCTTTCTGTCATTCGATTGCCTAAATGAAGACTAGTTGTACACCTATTTAAATCTATTCGAACTAAATCTTGTTGGCTGGTTTTTCTCCAATCTATATGGTCTTGTTCTTTGTGATTCTTCTACTCTTTTTGCCTATGTTAGAATAGTGTTTCTTTGTTAGTATGTGGTTTTAGCTGTTCGATAAGGTTTTGTTATAATTTACTTGTAGTTTGAAAAGTTAGTTTAGAAATTGTACGAGGTTCCCTTCGTAGATTACATAAGCATTACATAAAATCCCGTAGAAATTATGTGACGTTCCTTTGAGTTATAAAAATTCCGATGTTTTTTAAAACATAAGGGGTCATGTAGTTTCAGAAATTCTTTCTTGTTTTTTCTTTAACATCACAAAATCTTATAAAAAAAAAGGGATTATTTGAAATATTTTTGCTTAGATTAATGATCAATGGGCTATGATACAAGAACCTTTTGAAAAGGGCTAAAAGTGTAGGCTTTTAGAAGTATTCTGGAGGGCCCAAAGAACAATCTGGATGAACTACTTGTTAGGGGAATAAGAATAAAGTTAAATTTATTGTGCTCTGGCCCTCCACTACAGATTTTTTTTTTCCTAATTAGAAAATTGAAATGATTTATTTCTAGTTGTTAAAAGAGGTTGAAGGAAGTCCAGGCTTGATGGGTTGGGGGTATGGTAGGTGGGTAGGGTAGGGTATGGTAGTAGGGGTCACACACCTTTATTCATATTCCCCTAAGTAAGTACTGTGGATTTTATTCCAATCATACCTCATATAAAAGGTGGGTTAGGGTTGTGTGTGGAAAGATCTAACATAGGTCTGTTTGAATTAGGTTTCTGATTTTGATGTTATATTAGAAAGTGAAGTTGTTTTTGAATGAAATTGTATTTATTTTTTATGTTTTTTAGGGATATAAAATATCATGAATGAAATTGTATTTATTGTTACATGATTGTTTTTTATTTTTTTTATTGTTGATGAATAGTAGTATTAATAATTAATTTATGTTTGCCTCCAATTTACGATGGGATTTATTTACCATTCTTATTATTAAATCACGGTTTGATAATAGATTTATTGTAATAGAATGGTTTTAAATTTTTATTTAAATATTTGTTTAAACAATGTTTTGATTTTATGTTTTATAAGAAAAAAAAATATATTGTATTTTTATTGATAATGGTGTTTGAGGGTTCAAAAGTTTTTAACAGAGCATTTGTGTTCAAATGAAACATTGAATTTTTTTAATTCAATAAATTTTAAGTTAGGTGAGTTAATTGAATGTGTACATTGTTCATTGAATGTGTACATTGTTCCACAAGATTGTAATTAAATGATATATATATATATATACACACACACATATGTATAAGAGAAAGAGAATGAAAATGAAGAGTGTATTTTTTTAACAATAAATAAATAAATATGTTTTTTAAAAATATTAATATATTATATATTCTCTACATTGTTTTTTATATATCACATAAAAAAAAATATTTTTTAAAATTATTTTACAAAACAAACGATACCCAAAATTTGAAAACTTATATTGATAGTGCAATGAATTTTTTTTTCATTTACTTTTGAACTAAACATTTATTTCATTCTAAGCATTATGACTTTGTTCTTTTTAATGTTTTCAACAGAAATTACTATTACTATTTATATATACATAATTTTTAATAAAAATAAATTATTATTATTATTATTATTTTATAAAATATTATATCAAAATAGTATTTAAATAAAAATTAAAATTAAAATTTAATTTAAAATTACATCAAACAAACTCATAATAATTTAGATACAATTATATTTTAATTTTTATTAAAACTAGAGATACCTGTGAACGGTCTCATAACTCCCCCGAAAGTGCGCACATCAAATATAATACTCTGGAAACGAGTCTTAAGATATATTGGAGTTCTTTTCAATTTCCATACCATTTATGGATAATCAATTAATATATAGATATAATAATAATAATAAAAAATAGAATATATATTTAAATATTTTAAATATTATATCTAAATAAATATGTATAATATGATTATTATTTTTTTGTAAAGTGTTAAATTTAATGTAATATAATATAAAATAAAAATTTATTTATTTATATTATATTTAACAAATTTATATAAAAAATAAAATTTTAAAAATAGATAAGAATATTTATATATAAGAAAATATAAATATATATATATAAGAAAAAAATTTACAATTATTACTTACTTTTACTAAAATTTGTGTCCGATCAAATGAGCAAATATTTGTACGAGGAAGGGAGTAAAAACTATCTAAATAAATTATGTATAAAAATATTGAAAAGAAATGAAGGGCATTTCCGGAAATTCACTACACAAGATCAGTTAAGCTAGCTCATGATCATCAGAATCAGCCTTGACTTGAGTTGAGAGAGAAAAAGTTGAAAAGGAATAAAACAATCACATTAAACAGAAACCTCTCTCTCTCTCTAGATATATATACATACATATATATATATGTACGTGGAAATAAACTATTGGAAAATGCATAACAAAAATCCTTTCTCTGCATACAGTGAATGAGTATGTATAGCATAGGGAATTGAATTCCAAATAAAGCAACCAAAGCAGCCTCCATAGCTCTCTGAGAGAGCTTACTGACGGGACGGCATCAATTCCTTTTGCCATGGCCACGCTTTTCCGGCTTCTTCCTCTTCTTCTTCTCTTTTCAGGTACTTTCATCTTCTTCAAATTTAATTTTTAAGAGAAGAGTCCTTTCTGCTGCTTTCATTGTTACTTGGTTCATAAGCTTCGACTTCGCATTTTATTGTTTCATCCTTATGTTATGTCCTCTTCTGATGATTATTCGATCTTATTTTGTACCTGTTGAGGAAATGATTTGATATTTGAAGTTTGATTGATTTTAGTTTAGTGAAAAGAATTTTTTCGAGTTCGCATTTGATTGATTCGGTCTTATTTCCTCTTTTGATGATTATGCGATCTTATTTTGCAGCTGTTTGAGGGAATTGTTAGGTATTTATAAGCTTGATTGGTTTTAGAATTCGTGTTGTTTGATTCGCAACATATTCAGAAACTCTCTGTTTATTCAATTTTTACCGAGTATTTTGCTGTTCATAGCGATTCACAGTTTCACATTCGTAGCAATTTCGAAATTCTGCTAGCTTTAAATTAATCTTTAGATTTAGATTTCGATTTCCAGTTATTGTTCAATGAATTGTTGCTCTGGTTGTTGGAATCTTCAAGTTCAATTTCGATTTTGAATTTGAATTTGTACTGTGTGTCCAGATTGTTTTCCGACGACCGGAGCCGTCGGCGTGGGGATAAACTACGGCCAAATCGCGAACAACCTGCCGTCGCCGCCGCGCGTGGCGTACCTCCTAAGCTTACTCAACATAACGCGCGTCAAGCTCTACGATGCCGATCCAAACGTCCTGTCGGCGTTCGCCAACACCGGCGTCGAATTCACCATCGGCCTCGGCAACGAGCACTTGCAGGCGGTTACCGATCCAAGCCAAGCCAGATCATGGATCGAGCAGCACGTGCATCCGTACATCTCTCAGACGAAGATCACGTGCATCGCCGTCGGCAACGAGGTCCTCACCGGAAACGACACGCAGCTAATGTCGTACCTCCTGCCGGCGATGCAATCCGTTAACGACGCCCTTTTAAACTCCGGCCAACAGATATCGGTGACGACGGCGCACTCCTATGGAATCCTATCGACATCATTCCCGCCGTCTTCCGGCGCATTCCAACAGAATCTCGCCGAATACATCCGGCCAATCCTTGAGTTCCACCGCCGGACGGGGTCGCCGTTCACAATCAACGCCTACCCGTTCTTCGCCTACAAGGACAATCCCGACGGGGTGTCGTTGAGCTACGCCTTGTTCCAGCCGAGCTCCGGGATGATCGATCCGTCGACGAATCTGCGTTACGACAACATGTTGTACGCGCAAGTCGACGCCGTTTACTCCGCGATCAAAGCGGCTGGATTCGACGATATCCGCGTCCAAGTGTCGGAGACGGGATGGCCTTCGAAGGGCGATCCCGACGAGGCGGGCGCGACGCCGGAGAACGCAAAACTCTACAACGGGAACTTGGTGCGACGGATACAACAAAATCAAGGGACTCCCGCAAAACCGTCGGTGCCTATCGACATCTACGTTTTCGCGCTTTTTAACGAGAATCAAAAGTTCGGACCCGCCTCCGAGAGGAATTACGGATTGTACTATCCGAACGGGACGCCCGTTTACAATATCGGGTTGGAAAGCTATAGCATTCCTCATATGGACTATTCGGCTTCTAAATCGACCGTAAGGGCTCATCGACATTCGCTTAATTGCGCAATTCATTTACTCCAAATGATCGTCTTATCTGAAAGTTTAACTAAGACTAACTTTGCGATGTTTTCTTACATTTCAGGTAAGATGTTTCGTCGACAAGCGGACGGTTGTGGCGTCTATATTGATATATGTATACATATATACATTCCATTGTAGGTAAGAATTCATCGATTTGAAGAACGGGGACAAGAGTCGAGGAAACTTTTCCTATTTATGGAAAGATATTCGGGAGGTACGATGTCTTGTCCTATTTACCATTTGCCTTTTTCGTTCATAACAAATCGAAGGGGTTAACAAGTTGAGCAAAGTTCAAATTCGATATAGAAAGGAATGCATATAGATGTTTTGATCTTTTTATTATTTTAAATTTTGATCAACATTGTTCAATCTATAATTTCGATAAAAATATATTATTCTTTTAAAAATAATATTTTATTTCAAATCAATTTTAAACTATAACCAAATAAGCTGAAATTAACTTTAGGAGGTTAGATTATTACAATCTTATGGAGAACTAAGGCAACACTCTTAATGCAACACTCTCTCTAATCATGTGTTTTTGTTTGGGTAAATTTAAAAATAATAAGAATTTATATAAAAATAGGATGGATAATAAGAAGTAAACTAGAATATAGGAGTATGTCCAATTTATTAAGGGTATGTTTTTTTTTTATCGAATTTGAAATATTTTGGTATTAAACTAATGTATGATGTGATATTTTGTTAGAAAAAAAAAATATATTTTTTTCTAAAAATATGAGATTTGAAGTTAAAGAAAAAACTCTAAATTTTTTATAAAAATATAATGAGTTAAATATAAAAGATAACGTATAAATCAATTATTATTGATTAAAGTAACAATAATATAATTATGAATTGATATATATATATATTTTTATGTTAGACTAAGTGGCAATGTTGAGAATACTGGCATAAAATACACAAATAACACATAAGATATAAATTACAACTAATAAAATAATATAATATAAATAAAAATATGAATTGACAGGATATGATAGTATCCACAAAAAATATATATTTCAATTACTTTTAACATATAATGTATATTACCACAACACATAGGACAACACGATTAAAATATTTCAAACAACATGATGATGCTGATTATCCTCATCCAATACCTAATTATTTTAATTTTTTCAAAAAAATTATAAATAAATTATTGATAAATTTAATAGTCAAATAAATAAATAACATAATTTTGGTGGAAGAAAATAAATATTTTTTTAAAATTACTCATTTTCGATTAATATTAATTCCCAAAGTGTGTATAAGAGCATATATAATGTTGCCATTGACATCGAAAAGTAATAAAGGGTTTGTTTCTGAGTTTTTATTATTTGAACTTTGCATTTCTCGAAAAAAATATATATATTTTTTTTCTCACAAAATATTTCATTATATATTATCTTAATGTCAAATTCAAACCAATTTTTTTTTTCAAATTCATAAGAAAGGAACTTTTATATGCTCTAAGTAGTCCCTAACCAATTGATTGAAATGTTGAATTTAAGGACAAAGATCACTACTAATTATTATTATTATTTAAAGGTAAAGAGTCTTCATCATCATAATCACCCAAAATGAAGTGGTTTTCGATTGGTATTAGATTTTAGAGTTTGGAGTAAGCCAATGAAATTTTGAATTGAAATTATTCACAATGTTTACCCAAACCAACTTTTGAATTGCGATTTTTCAAAACTAATAGTGAATAATACAAATAAAAGTAAAAAATAGATTCAAATATTTATTGCAAGAAGTCAAAAAATTAAATATTTAATTTCAAATAATATTATATTTTATATTTTTTGATACAACTTTTTTTACCAGACATGCAATTATTTGTGTTTGTGTTTTAAATATAAAATTAATAAAACAATGAAAACGAAAATAAATAAATAATTTAATATTCGAACAAATAATAATAAAATTAATGAGTGAAACCTACGAACAAACACACTATGATGTATTTGAAATGACAGAGTTCCTAACTTATTACTTTTTTCCTACAACAAATTTCATCGACATGTCTCCATCCCATAATTTGCTATCAAGCTTTTTTTTTTTTTTTTTCTTTTTTTTTAAAAGAATTTATAATATATATATATATATATATATATTTTTGGTATGTTATGTCGACATATTACATCATGGTTTGATGTGCAATAAGTAATTTTGGTGAGTTTCTCTACTCTTATTATCACACCTATTTCCATGCTTTTGCTTTGGGCACAAAGGGCTTCTTTATTTCTAGTATTTTTTATATGAAAATTTCACCATTTATATTTAAAAATATCATTATATATATATATATATACACTTATAGATTTAAAAGTTATTTCATGCATTTATTATTATTTTTTTATTAAAAGTAAAAATCTGGATAAATATATATATATCATTTGAAAAGTGTAGGTTAAAATCTAAAGGTGCAAGTAACATCAGTGTATATATATATACTCCTTCTGTCTCAATACAATAGTTTTATTTACCATTTTTCTCAGTATCAATACAATAGTCATAAATAACCATATGACTGTAAAACTACCCTTATTTTTTCATTTTTACTACACAATTGTCACTAATTTTTTACACTAATGCACTCACAAGGACAAAAAAATCTTTTATCAGTACTTTTTACCAACTACCAATATAATATCAATATTCTTTAAATCTTGTACCGAACTCAATTAAGATTATAGTTTTTGGAGGGATGGAGTATAATTCTATGTTGGTTCAATTTGTGTGTGGCTTTCAACATTGAAATTTTCACCCTTTAATTAATCATGGATTTGATTTAAACCAACTAACAGGATAAGATAATAAGAAGCCTGATTGATTGACATAGACCCTTTAATTTTTTGACTTCATATTATTATTATTATTATTATTATTTTTAAAAAAAATCATTTTATTTTATAATAAATAAATCAAAATCTCAACAACAAATTAAAATAGTAGTATTAGTCAAAAAATCACATGTTATTAGCAGTTCTTAACACAGTTGTCTTAAGACAATTATTGGTAATGTCTGCAGGTGAAGCTGCTGCCATTGGCACACACACACACTTGTTATTTACATACATACATATGTATTTATTTATTTTACATATTAATTATAGTCTTGGAATTGCATTTCATTTTTATTGAGTGACAAAAAACAAAAGAACAAGTTGGAAATAAATCATCGAGCTTGTATTACTCCTTCCGATCCCGAAAATTATTCATAATTCGATGAATATAGAAATTAAGAAATAATAGTATTTTTTAAATATAAAAGTAGTATAAGTAAAAGAATAAAATAAGAGAATTATGAAAAATAATTGATAAAAAAAAAAATAATAATACTCCCTCTCTTCCTTAACAATATATCCATTTTTCTATTTTAGTCCGTCTCGTAACAAAGTATCCAATTTTTTTTAGTAATTGTATTGTCTACCTAACATTACAAATACTTTTCCAATTTATAATATATTACACATATGTCATTACATTTATATTATACAATACTAATAGGGTTAATTTAGTCTTTTTACCTTTATTTCTACTTTATCCGTAGATTTGGGACGGAGGGAGTATAAAAATATTAATAAAATAGTTATTGTTCATTAAAATAATAAATATAATAAAATTATGAATAAACAAAAATTGACATAATTTTGCTAGACATATATATATATATATATATTTAGCAAAAGAAAAACACAATATTGTGAAAATTGAATTTCTATAAGACTATCAAAGTCCACACACAATAAAATGAATATTAGAATATCATATGTTATAACTTATAATTTTTTTGATCGGAATATTATAACTTACAATTCTTTCAATGACCAGTTGTTTGGATCGAAAGTTGTCCGTACAAAATATGATTTCATTTATTTATTTTTATTGACGTACATTGTGAAAAACAACGCAATGTTCGTTGATATAGTTTGAATTTTCTTAAAATCTCATCATAAGATATCAATTTAAGAGCAAATTTACTATTCTAATAATTCAATAATCCATAAACTTTTAAAATGAATAAAAAAAACTATCGACCGAAGACTCACAAATTTCTTTAACTATACTGTCAATTATAAAAAAAAAAATTAATTTGATTTGGCTTTCTCCGGGTATATATTCAAGTTTGCAATATCAAAATCTTCATCACTAATGTGGTTTTTAATCATCCCTTTTTACTATTTTGAGTTGTATTCGAAAATTCAATCTCTTTTATTCCAAGAAAATAAAATAAACTCTCTAAGAATTACTACTAATTTTCTCTATAACATTATCTTGATAGGGTAATCCATTATTTATCTATAATCTCGATCCCTTACCTTATCGATCGGCTAGAAATGACATCTATGTAAAGACTCGGCTAAACTTCACTTTAATTGATTTAAAAATCGTATTTTTGTCACAATTGTCTAACGTTTAAATTATGTTGTCGAATTTTCATTTTATCGTCGGTCATTATTGTTGCAAAGTTTGAATATCTTGTAAATATTGAACAAAATAAGATAAATATGTATAAAGATATTAGTCGAAATTCATATTATTTTTCCACGATAAAGACCACACAACATTAAAGAATCTTATATCCCCATTTGCTATTAAACTTTTATTAGGGAAGAAAAAATTCAATAATTATTATTATTATTATTAGTTTCTTTTATCATTTGATGTTCTTGCTGATTTATTTATTTTAATTATTTCAATCATAAAAAGTAAGAATATCATCATCGTCATCGTTATCCTGGGAAATACAAGACAATAATTAATGGTGAGATTGACGTAAAATAGCCTTTGGTTTTATCTATACATGAATGATTATGAGACACTAGTGGTGGTGGATTTTGGATTTGATTTTTATTATATATATATATATATATATATTTTAAAAAAATAATAATAAATAAACTCATGGAGTATTATAAAAAAAGTACTCTAATTTTAAAATATTATTAGTTTAAAATGATAAATAATAATAATAATTGTAATAATAATAATAAATATTGGATATAATATATATAACGTTATTCATAATATTTTAAATAAAAATTAAATGTTAAATAAGGGTTCTGAAAGTCGCAAAGGTTTAAAACATTTGGGAACAATAAAAAATTAAATAAAAATAAATATATAATGTGATATTAACATTGCATGTATTTTATATTAAAATAAAATTTTAATTTAATATATTAAATAAAAAACAAGTATTTTATATAGTAATATTTTCATATTTCATTATTTATAAATAATGACATCTTTTAGGTATGTGAAACTAACTCTTGGAGTATAAGTAAAATATTACTTTCAATTTGAGTAAATATTAAAAATTTTGAATTAAAATAATTATTAATATAATATTTTATATATAAAAGAATTTTTTATAGCATAATATAAAAATAAAAGTATTAAATATTTAATTTGATATATTTAAAAAAAATATATTAATAAATAATAAAAGCTAACAAAACAAAACCTCTATACAAACACAAGGTTAAATAATAGATCTGTGACTGTGAGATCTCTGGACACATTTGAATATGGTATGAGTTTCCATATCATCAAATAAAAATACATTCAAACATCTCACGGCTCAAAGTCTATTTGCTACACATCCTTGAATTTAATTTAATTTGCAAGGTATTAAATGTTATTTCCACAATATAAAAATAAAATAATAATAAGAATAAGGACAGGAGAACCCCAATAGTAATCAATGTGGGTAGGAGTAACCAACCAATAACAATGCCAATCCCAATCAATACAAGTAAGGATCATATGACAATCTTCATCCCCCCCACCCCATATTCAATTTCCTTCCTTCTTACAACCAATTAATGTCTCTCATGCTCATAATCACAAATCTACCCATCCACTTCTGTCTCTCTCTCTCTCAAATCAAATCAAATATCCTCACAACTTACCTCAAGAACAGGAACAAGAAGACAACAATGGCTGCTGCATTTTTCAGTTATCCACTTCTCTGTAGTTATCTACACAGCCATCACAACTCCCAGCGGAAAGCGATTCGCCTTCTGCTTCCGCTTTTTCTGCTCCCGCCAGTCCATTCGCATCAGCGCCACCGTCCGTATTGCCGTTTTGGAAGTTCCCCGCGCCATCGGGCGCACCTGATCCCGCGTTAGACTCCAAATTTGTCGTAGTAGCTTGAACGCCGTTCTCTTTCTTCGTGCTCCGCCGCTTCTTCTTCTGCTGTTGCTTCTTGAAACGGCCTTTCTTTGGCTTGAGTGCGGCCGCAGTCTCCTGAACGCTGATTCCCAGGTCGGACACTTTCTTCTTCTGTGGAATTACGCTGTAGACGGAGGAGCTGCCGGCTTGATCTGCAGAGATAGAGCCCGAAGATTGGATGGCTAACAATGCCGTCCTCGCTGCTTTGATTTCGGCTTCCTTCTTTGTGGTTGTTGCAGCTCCGATGTACTTGATGCCCCCGATGTCGACGCTGCAAGAATACATTGGTGCTTTGCCGCGTTTCTCATCTTTGTGGCACTCGTACAAGGGGATGGCGTAGTTCATCTTTTGCGCGTATTCTTGCAGCAAGTTTTTGCACAAGCCGGTTTCATGCTGAAAAATTTGTAATCATCGAATCATGGCGTATAATCAACAAACAAATGAGCGGGAGAAAATAACTAGGAAACAGAAAAAGTAATGTATAAATAAAATGCAATCGAATATTATTATATAGTGAAATGTTTCTCTATTTAGGTAGATACTCTTGAAACTTTTTAAATAGACTAGTATTCATCAATAGTAACTTTTTAAGAAAAAACAAACAAACAAACATCATATTAAATAATTTTTAGTCTCACAAAACATAGCTATCAAATAGTCAAGTTTTCACTTCACCGATTTTTTTTAAAAAAACCTCTATATGAACGTAGATACTTCGGGATTCCTTAACAACAAAATACTAGCAGCTGGTTCAACGTTGCAATGGGTTTATATAATAGATACAGAATGAGACAGATGTCGAAGAACTTTTAAAGGGCTAATTTCACTTGTCACAAATGATAAAAACTTTTAAATGGTTAGTTTCACTAGTCACACAAATGATATAACTTTTAAAGGGCTAATTTCACTTTGCTATGTCGAGTTGACACCAAATCGGATACTGCATTCTAAATGCAATTGAATCAGATTCCACCTGGCTGATAAATATGACTTAGTCTACATGATGATGCAAATCACAGAGACCAAGATCAAAGAACATGACAATATAAGTTAAGCAAACCTGCATTTCTAACCAAAGAGTTAAGTAACGTTCATGGCAGGGGGTACAGCAACTCATTTTTAACTTTTTCAAAAAATCTAAAGATTATTCAGAAACATGGTGGGCAGGATATTTAAAGTTTTAGCTAATGCACTGCATGAGTCACTACGCAGTGAGCAATTATGGTAAGATGGGCTCATTGTGGGATCACATAAAAAATATGGATGCCTTAACACGTAAAATTATATACATAAAAGAGTGTAAAGAGAATTACCACTGGTACAGATATACCAAACTTTGTGCCAACAGATTTGGAAAGTTCTATGAGTGCGACCTCTGCAGCCGACTGCTCTGCTGTCTTGCGATTGAAAAATCCAGGTAGGGAATCATATCTTACGTTGTTCACAATGACAGTTGTTCTGAAGGAAGGCTCATGCGAAGGGCCTTCCTTGATAGTTTCGTAAGTGGGAGTTGTGAGCCCTGCTTTTTGACAATACTCTTGCAGTCGGCTCTTGAAGGCATAACAGCTTGAAACACCTGGAATACATACGGATGATCATGTGTCCTTAACATTATTTAGGAATAATAAGAAAAGTTTTCATTCTGAGAGAATTACATTAAAGAACATCGAACAATTACAGAGAAAACTTATATTAACAAACAGAAGATTACTCAGGAGGTCGACTCAAATTTCTCAGCAGGTCCTGATAATATTTTCATTAGCTCCACAAACATGATCGGGTTGGGAACCTTAGTACATAATAAAAACCAATGTTCACCAATTTAACCTACAAGCTACATATTATTAGAAAAGATTACATAGCAAGCTTGCCAAACCATTCCTCATTCCCCAAGGAACTTTCTAAAAAACATTATAGGTGACACAATGAAATGCTTATTCATACAGCTATCAGTCGGTAAAATATATATATATATATATATGCACAGCACGAAAGCCAAAATACAGAACAAAATAAAAATGAGGCAAAGTTTGGAGCTCACAACTTTGACACAAATTCTGTAAAGAGTAAAGGAATCTTCAAAATAAGAACTATGAATTTCCGGAAAGTAGAAGGTCTTACTTGCAGGTGCATTTTTGTCTTGAATTTCATGATTGCTGGCCATGCTCAATTTTGTGACTCCCAACACTTCTTTCTGTTTGTTTGGCTTGCCCACACCAACAAACAAAACTACAGTCGATATCTAAAGGGTACTAGAAGTTGCACCAGACTTCTTCTGCAAGTCAAGTTTTATTCCCACCCTGAAGAAACATTCAGAACCTCAGTATTAGAAATTTGAGGACCAACCAAACTCACAAAATGAAGATGTGCATACCGAAGGGCCTAAATCTAAAACAGCATGATTGATTTCGAAGTCCAGAGCCCTAATATATGGTTACTCACCTTTCCAATGCTCTTATATGTCTGTAATTAGGTTAAATAAACACTATTATCATCTTATTTTCACCAAACCCTTTTTAACTCCACAAACACGTGCAACCAAAACCTTATCAAATCTTATCCCTTTCTAAACTGAAGCAACAAAGTTTCACCAAATCCTTTGTCAGAATTAAGAACTGATATGGCATTCTCCATTCTAAGTTAGTAATTTCTAAATCCAAATCTGCTAATGCTTGGATGTGATATTGAGAACAAAACACTTGAAATTTCTGCTATCAATCCAATTTAGAACAAAATACAAAGTGAACCTTTTTCCATATAGCACGAACCAACATTACTTCAATCATACAAGACTAAGGAAAGCAACAAGCACCTCCTCAGCCAACACAATTCTGTATCACTCAGTCAAGAAACATTACATCAAATTTCCAAAAATAAAAATAATCCTCCTCGAAAATACAAAGCGAAATTAGAATTTGTAGTTCAAAACACATTAAGCCCTCGCAGCAATACAAATTACTTCAAAAAAGCAGAACACAAATTCGAAAAGATACGAAAGCCAAACGCAAGTAAAACTACCTGGTACGCAGCGGAGCACAGCAGTAAAGATTCCGCCTCGACGAACGAGAGAATTTAGGAGAGGTGGAAGAGGCCGATTCCTAAAATTCTTCGGCCATTAAAAGGCGAAATGAAATGCAGAGAGCAGAACGAGCGAGACATAGTAAATCAATTTGGGCCGGGCCCAGGTGGACTTAAAGCCCATAACATATGTGGGCTCTCAAAAGCCCAGCCCAGCCCAGATTATATTATTTCTACATAGTAATTAAAATGTGTTTGTTTTGTGAAATATTTTGAAGATATAATTTTTTATACTAGTATATAAAATTGTATAAAAATAATAAATATTTATAGTATATTAATTTCTTTTAGAAATGTGTGGAAAATAAATATAAAGAGAACACACTGACAACAAATAGCATGAAATGAAATAAATTGATACGTTTTTTCCTTTTTTTTTTCTTTTTTATCTTCTTGTATTATTATTATTATTATTATTCATTTTTAATATGCAATTTGTGATAATAAAATATAACTAAAAATACATTAATAATATTCATGTTTTGTATTTTATTTTACTTTTAACAAATTTATATATTTTATAAATAAATAAATAAATGTAAAAAAACTAATGGGTATGCTTTTTCTTTGGGTGTGTTTCTTTAATATTTTGAATTTGAGGGAGATGACCATTGTTTAAATGCAAATAAATAAATAAATAAAATTAGAGTAAAAAAAATACTGTTCCAAAACTCTGAATGATTTAGGGAATGTTTCTTTGAGTTCAAAAAATTTTGATTGAGTTTATAGTAAAATAATATATTTAGGGTGTGTTTGTTTGGGGGTTTGGATTTTGTGTTGGAATTTGAATAGTAAAAATTTTGAATTTGAATAGTTGTATGATGTGATATAAATAGGTGTTTATGTGATGTTTTGAATGTAAAATTGATTTTAGTATAATATAAAAAATAAAAAATAGGCGTTTGATTTGATATTTTTTAGTAAAAAGAAATGTACGTTTTTAAATATAAAAAAAAGTAGAAATCATTTTTGTCCCATTCAATATCATAATTATCAATTTTGGTTTCATTAAAAAAATATATCAATTTTGGTCTCATTCAAATGAAAATTTATCAATTTTAGTCCTAAAATGGTTGACTGAGACTGAATACGGCCGTGTTGGACGACTCAGAAGGTGACTGTACCAGGCAGCTAACACGGCCATGTTGGTTACCCTGCACTTCTGAACACGGCCATGTTCCTGCCCGTGCTCTGAATACAACCATGTTCATGTTCTACGCCATGTTTCTGCCCATGTTTTCAACACAGCCATGTTCTAGGCCATGTTCACGACCATATTTTCAATATAATTATATTGTAGGTTATATTTATTATTATTTTCATTTTCTTAAAAATTATTTGATATATACATTTATAATTCAACAAAAATATTCTTTACAATTATTTCATAATATAAAAATAATTATTATTTAATATTTTTAAAATATATAAAAATAATAATATATTAATATATTTTTTTAAATATCTATAGTAAAAATTTTAAAATATTATTTTAAATTAATTATTTCTATAAAATATAAATTGAATTTATTATTCAAAATAATATCTTAAAATAATACTCCTTCCATCCCACATTGGATGTCTAGGTCACCATAGACATGAGAATTTATGATAAATATAATTAGTAGATAATTAATAATATATTAGTGAAAATAATTATCATATAATATAAATAAGTATAAATTAAGATTAAGATAACTCATTAGTTTAATTAAAATTAAAAAATAGTCTGTAATTATTTTCCAAAAAAGGAAAGTGACATGGAGATGCGGGACGGTCAGAAACGACAGATATGGCAAGTGGAATGGAGAGAGTATTATTAAAAAATATATATTAATATATTATTATTTTAATATATTTTTAAAATATTAAAAAAAATTATTTTTATATTATGAAATAATTGTAAAAAATATTTTTGTTGAATTATAAATATATATCAAATAATTTTAACCAAAAAGTGAAAATAATAATAAATATGACCTTCAATATGATTATATTGAAAACATGGTCGTGAACATGACTTAAACATGGCTGTGCTGAGAACATGGACAGAAACACGGCCGTGTTAAGTGCAGGGTAAACAACACGGCTGTGTTGAAACCAACGTGGCCATGTTGGCTGCCTGGAACGCTCAATCAAGTCATCCAACACAGCCGTGTTCAAGCCAACACGGCCGTATTCAATCTCAGTCAACCATATTGGGACTAAAATTGATAAATTTTTATTTGAGTGAGACCAAAATTGATAATTTTTTTTTCAATGAAACCAAAATTGATAATTATGATATTGATTTGGATCAAAAATAATTTTTACTAAAAAAAAAAAAAAAAAAAAAAAAAAGAAAAAAGCAAAGAGTCCAGATAGTGCAAAACTGTTAGTTTGTTTGGGATGTAAATAAACAAACTCTTCGTTGTTTTAAATTCAACATTTACTACAAACTTTGATTAGCAATTTGACTAGATTGCTAAAAGCTAGAATAATTTGTTTTTTAAACATTTCAAACCAAAACATTATTAACTCTGCATAGTTTTCAATAAAAAATACTTCACAAAATATCCCATCCAAAAATTAAAATTAATTTTTATTTCAAATCTAACTTTAAACCACAACTAAACAAACCCTTATAAATAAACCAATTGTCAAACACCTTTCTAAATAACAATGGTTCAACATGATGGTTCTTGCATCACAGTATCGACAACACACAATATATACAAACATTACACAATAAAACATATGAACTGACAGCGCATAACACTTAGTCGATACAGTGCATCTCAACACACAATATATATTAAGACATAACATATTTAAACTACAACATGTTAATCCACATCCTAACCATTTCCTTTCAGGCTTCAACATATAGTATCAAAGTTCACAGCAAAATGCAAGATCTCCATAGCCAAATTTAAGCCAAAATGTATACCCATGCATATATATATATATATATATAACGTTACCTACAAACAGTTTCCCCTCTCCAATTTATTCCATTTCAATCAGAACTATCCTCTTCGACGCTTCTGCTTGCTTCGACCTTCATGTTTTGCAGCCGGCACTCTCCTTTTCCCTTTCTTCTCTGTATCTTTTGTCCTTGATAATCCCGCTTTCGACTTCTTCTCGGCATTCTTTTCTCTAAACTCTGCCGATATTGAAGGTAACGGGTTAATAAATAGATGGATATTCAAAAAAGCCAAGCAACAATCGTCAATCAATGCAGACATAAATCTAAGTATTCCAATAATCATCATCGTTCTGTTTTTGTGGCACAATGCAAAGATGTTTGGGGAAATTGAAACAGATTCTCACTCAATGAATTGATAGGAATACAAAGCTTGATAATTTTAAAAAACAATTACGACAAAAATAGACTCAGTGTTGATCTATAAGGTCAATCCACGACTGTCTAACACAAAGGTTGGTTTACAAATCATGCTGCTTTTCTAGACATTCTTTTCCTCCAAAAATATTACATCTAAAAAACTATTCATTTGAAAAAAGTCAAAAGGGCAAGTAGGTAAAACAAATCTATCCAATAGCTGTCAACATAAAATTTAATCAACGGCACACAAGATTCTTAAGCAACCATAAACATACAATGAATTGAAATTCGAGACCACAGAAACAGGATACTGCTTATTGTAAGTGCTCAACCATGCATGATGTGAGGATAATTTTATTTAAAAAAAAATTCAACTATTAGCACACATTTGATGCAATGAAGAGTTTTTAATCTAACAAGCTCGATGGTTTAAACAAGAAACTTGTGCCGTTACTTTACTTTGAATAAGCATATGATACTCTGTATCTCCAACAACATTTCATGCCCTTATGGTCACAACACCATTTGCAAAGGAAGAAAAGAAGATGGATTTAGTTCATAATCTCCCCAATCTATTAAGGAATCATTCGATCCGGATCGTGCCTTTTCATTCGCAGTTAGTTCAAATGAAAGTTTCACACATTTATTCACCAATATTGATGTATAAAGGAAAAGACAGATTCAAATAATATGAACTTCACATATCTCTGAAATAATGCTCGGCTACTAGCCAACAAATATGTAATCCTCACTTGAAGCATAAACATCTGTGTGAAGCATACAATGAAATTCTAATCGATACAACTTATCATATTCTTTGTAAATCTATTAACAATTTGTTCGATAGGGTTAGTGTAGAAGCCAGTTTCCAATATCCTCAAGACTCAACCGAATGAAAGTCACTGACCTTCGAGCGAAGATCTGAGATCAGTATCAAATTCTGGAAACTCAAGCTCTTCCAAGGCCTTGAATACATCTTCAGCAGTGATTATATGTCGATTTGAATCTTTACATATCTCATTGGCTCTGCATAGATCAAGAAACCTTTGTACATGTCCAGTGATAATCCATTCGACTCCCAAAACTCAAAATCGTGATACCGATATTGTCAATCTTCCATAGTTTCATGATTTGTAACCAAAGTCCAGAAATGCACACTACAATTCACAAGTTGAAATCACACTAAGCAGTAAAAGCCCTAAAATCAGATTAAACCCTAACCAATTTCAGAACATCAGCTCATCTTTCAAAATCAAAAACTAATTTCCACAAATTGTGCAGATCTATGAAATAACAATCCGAAACGAATCCAATCAAACGAAGAAATGGAAATCAATCGAGTGAAGCAGTGTGTAAAACGCAATTGATTTACAGATTTTCGAGCGAGGATAGCCTTACGCAGCGGAGAGTGAATGGATGAAGACTCGGCCGCCTACACAGAACGCGTCGAGCGATTCGCCAACCAGAGGGATATCGGAACCGTGTGAGAGCTGAGACAGCGTATCCTTCACCACGCGGCGCACGATAGCCTTGGGCAGCCCCTCCGTATCCGGAATGACCATTTCCGGCAAGTCTTTGTACTTCCCCTTCATCTCCTTCGCAGCCGGCGGCGGCGCACGGCGTGCAGATTATCAGTGTAAATGGGCAGAGCCCGATTGCCGCTTTTCTTTCCCGCCTTCCGAAAAACGACAGGCGAATTTATTGCGCTCTGACAGCGGAAGAAATGAGGATTCGGCCCAAAGAATTTCTTCTGCGCTGACCATTTTGCTTCAACGCGAGTCTCTTCTTCATCTTTGAATTGCTGATTCTAATCCATAATTGAACAGTTGATCTCTTTTCAATTTCAGATTTTTTCTTTGCGTTGGATCAATCTCCATTTCATTTCAACAAGGGCCTCGTCAATCAATCAATCTCCTGCTGGGCTGTCTTCTTCAAAGTACTTGATTTTTTATTTATTCTTTTAACAAAATTATTTTTAATAAATAATTAATACTTCCTCCGTTCCAATAAGATATCGATTTATTTTTTTTTTATATAATTTTAAAAATATTAGCATTGTATTGAGATATAGTAAAAAAAAGGAATAATTAAAATAATCTTATTAGTATATTATAATATAAATGTGATGACATATTTGTTTAATATATTATAATTTAGAAGAATATTTGTAATATTAAGTAGATAGTACAGTTACTAAAAAAACGAAATTGATACTTTGTTATTCTTTTTATGGGGTTTGAAAATTTTTTGTTGGAATTTGGTATAAAAATAATATTCCCTCCGGCCACATAGAAAATAAACATTTACTTTTGGCGCTGTGTTTAAAAAATAATACTTCCTCCGTCATTCAAATTTATGTTCATTTTCATTTTGGGGTTGTCATTGAAAAATATTCTCATTTTTTTTAAGTAAAAAATTATTACACTTTATACTTTTTTTTACTATAAAAGGAAAAAATAACAATTACTATTCACTTTTATTAAAATTTATCTCCGGTCAAATAAGCACACATTTGCATGATAAGGGTAGTATTTTAATTATAGTGGATAGTTAAAAGTAATATAATGACATTTTTGTCATTATTTTTTTATGTAAAAGTAATGATGTAATGTAAAATAAAAGTATTTGTAAAAAAAAATGAAGTATTTAATAAAATATTTATTTTGTAATTAGACGTCTCCAAATAGAAATATCTACCATTTCTAGCTTGACAGAGAGAATATATGATAAAATATTTTATAAAAGAAAAATATATATATATTCTAAAAAACGTAGAATCCAAATTAGTAAAAATTTGATTTGAGACTAAAGAAACATAATAATAATAATAATAATAATAATACAAACCAAATGTAACCATACATGTTGCGTCAGAAACTATAAAAACAAGTCTTAAATTTCAAACATCCGAATATCATATCAATATTTTTTTCCGCCAAAGCGCCTATCTCTTTTTTGAAAAGAGAGTAACGCCTCGACATAATCTTGTTCTTCAAACTCAGGGAACATTTTCTTGGAGAAGACAAGCTCGGTATAAGCCATTTGCCATAACATGAAATTACTAATTCTTTGCTCGCCACTCGTCCGGATCAACAAGTCCGGAATTGGATACTTCGCACAACTCGTCTCAAGTTCCTCCTCTATTAGACTCTTGTTGATGTCTTCTATTTCCACAATTCCACTCTTCACTTTGAGCACGATATTTTTTGTCGCCTTTACTATATCGTATTGACCACTGTAGTTTATAGCAATCAAAATGTGAAGTCCTTTGTTGCCTTTGGTGTTTTCTTCCGCCATGTTTATCACTTTGATTAAGGATTCTGGTAGCTTCGCTCTATCTCCCATTACAGATATTCGTATGTTGTAGCTAAAAACATTCATAAAAACGTAAGAGAATGTGTATGCTTAAAAATGATGTTAGATAAAACTATTTTGATTCAAAATAGCAAATAATTCACCATTTTATACTTCTTCTATTAATCTAAAAAATATGTTTATTTTTTTAAAGCGTGAACTTCACTTTATTATACAAGTTATATTTAAACTTTAATAAAGCTTTTGAAAATTTTGAAGTTTCAAGTAATTTTAAAATTAGTAAAAATTAAGTATTTGATGTGATATTTTATTAGTTAAAATAAATACTTGATACTATATTTTTTATAAAAAATTATTGTATAAATAATATCAAAATTTTAAAATAAATAAATATATATATGTGTAAATAGAGCCTCTCTGTTTATATGCTAACAAATTTAGTATAAGTATAGCAGCAGTAACATTAATTATTCATATGCTATTTTAAAATATATTCAAATTTTTTAGTACAAGTTTTAATATGAAATTATATATATATTTATCTTTTTATTGAAAAAAAATACAAAACAAAATATAATTTTTCATGAAAAAAAAATAAAAATATATTTAAAGGACGGATAAAAATAAATAAATTCTTTAACCTCAAATCTTATATTTTTACTATTTGAATAATGTATTTTTCAAAAAAAATTATAATTTTTTTTCTCACAAAACATTAATCATATATTATTTTAATACTAAATATAAATCAAAATTTTTTCGAACTAATATAAAAAAAAAAACCTAAGTAAATTGTTATTATTATTATTTTATTATTATTATTTTTTTTAATGTGAAAGTACCAGTTACCTGAAAAAGTCAACTAAATATGTCTGAACCACTTCCTCAAGCAATGTCATCAAATTGTCAACTTCCTCCTGTCTCAAACAAGTATTTTAGGAATTTTGAATTATTTTAAAATAAATATCAATTAAAATTAAATATATAATATAATATAATATAAATATTGAATATAATATTTTATATAGAAAATAGAATGTTACGTGTAACATTTTAACAATAATAAAAAATATTTAAATATATATATTTGATTGAAGGGTAAACTGTTTATTTAGTCCGTGACTGTACCCCTTGTCATTTTAGTCCCGTAAGTGGAGCATGTACCAAACTAATCCCATAAGTGAAAATTTTTCGTTGTTTTAGTCCTCCGGTGCCGGAGATGTCTGCGTGGTTCGCCGGAGGTGACGTGTCCGCCAGGTCGTGGATTTATTTTATTTTATTTTTATTTTTAATTTTTTTTAAAACTTATTTTTAATTTATTTTAAATTTTATTTGTATTTTTTTTATTTTTTTTATTTGGTTCAATTAAAAAAATAAATAAATCCACATGTCTACCGGATGTCGCTGACCTGGCGGGAAACCTGGCGGACACGTCACCTCCGGCGAGCCACGCGGGCATCTCCGACGCTGGAGGACTAAAACAGCGAAAAAATTCTACTTATAGGACTAGTTTGCGACAGGCTGCACTTGCGGGACTAAAATGATAAGGGGGACCAGTTACGGGATTTAAAAAATAGTTTACCCTAATATATATTAATTTATATAATTTATTTATATTATGAATATAATTAAGATAATTAACTTTTAAGCTAATCAGCACAAGATTCTTACCGAAAAGTTAAAATTATGTTTACTAGGAATGATTATTATGATAGAAATAGTAGTTGGGTAGATTTCAATGACATTAAAGGATGTACACATGATGCACTGTTTCAAACCTATTAGTTTTGATCAAATAATTCCACCCATTGGACTAAAATAAATTATATGTTAGATAAATAAAATTTATTTATCTTCATTTCAAATTTAATACTCCTTCCGTCTCAAAAAGCGTTTTTTGGAATTTTGTGTTAGATTGAAAAATAATACTAATATTTTATTGGTTAGTAAAAATGCGTAAGTGATTTTGATATTTTTGTCATTTAATTTTTTGTACGAAATAATTGTATGTGTAATAATACGTTTGTAATTTAAATAAAAACTAAATTTATTTTAGTATTAGTGTACAATCAATTTTACTGAAAATGAAAAAAGATACTTTCGAATTAGACGGACGAAAATAGTAAAGATAATACTTTGAATTAGAACAGATAGAGTAAAATAATCTATATTTAATAAAAATTTATCGAAATTAAAACACGAACACAGATTAAAGAATAGAATCCAACAAAATTATAAAAATGGAGAAGGTGCGACAAGCTAGCTTACTTGCGGCCGGCTCCAATTTTCCGTTGAGAAGCAAAAGAGCGAGAGAACCTTAACGCCCCATTTGCACGATAGAAATGCGATTTCCATCATAACTCGCTTGCCTTCGACGTGCCCCAACTCCACCGGAAAACCTCTTGCCTTAGCCCACCGCCGGTTGCCATCCAAAATCACCGCCACGTGTTTTGGCATTAGCTCAGCCGTGAGTCCCTCCGGCAGCGCCGCGGCGGCGACACCTATTTTTTTCTCATCGGAATCCATTTAATTTTTCAATTAGTTTTAAATTTATGCATGAGAACTCATGAGTACTGAGTGTATTTATAATAGTTGCTTCAAGATATCTAAGAAGCAAGTTACATGAATTTCCTTGAAATAAATAAATAAATAAAATTTCATTCACATTGAAATATTAGAAAGAAAATAAAAAATTCATACTTTATAAATATCATATATAATTCCATTTAGTATTAATTCTTTTTGAAGAAATTTAGAAATAAATCGCCTGATCCGGAGTAAACAATATTATATTTATTGTTAAATAGCGAAGTGTCAATTAAATGTGAATGAAAAATAAATAAATAAAGAAAATTAGGTGTTAGCGCATCATTACTATTTATGTACAATAATATGCATGTATATTAAAAAAAATAACAAAATATCAACTATATCATTTTTATTTAAAATATTATCTTTAAAATATTTTTTAATTGAAAAATCATAATAATATATTTTTTATATATATATTATATCAAATATTTATTTACATTCAAAATTTACTATTTCTAAAACAAAAAAAAAATATTTATTTTCAAATCACGATCGATACTATTAATTTATGACTAATTTTAATTCAAAGAAAAAAAATCAAATTAAAAATTTAATCTTTATTTAGAATATTTAATCAAAATTATATTTTTTATGTAAAAATATCAAATATAATATTTATTTACATGACATAAAATAACTATGTTTATTTTTTTATTATTTTCAAAACACCAAAACATATTCAAATAAAATGAAAGCAAAATAGCATAAAATCGTTCTGTAATTTTCGAAATTTGTTTGAAATCCCCTTAGCCTTAAAATTTCATTATCTATTTGTAGTTTTCAAAATATTGCATAAAAAAATTCCCCGTTAGTATTTAACGACAATTACAATTCATGCACCCAAAATATGATTGTTGATAAAATGGAGCACAATCGTTAGTACTTAATGTGTTAATGTAAGTACGATCGAACAATACAACAAAGAGTTTTTTATGCAATCTTTTTTGAACCAAAAATAGATAATAATTTGTAATTTTAAGACCAAAGTGAGTTTTCAGTAAATTTCAAAAACTACATGGGATTTATGATCAACATATAATTAATGAAATATCGATAGCAAAAATTAATAATTGATCATAGATAATTGACTAAATTTATAATTTTTCCTCACAACTAATCTGGCTAATCATGTGACATTTATTGTCGGAAGTAAATTGCAAGAAATCTAGTTGGAAGTGAAGTGTTTTGTTTCATAGTTGTATAAATTACAAGAAGACTTTAAACAAGGGGAAGACTTTAGCCTATGTTTCACATATTCGTGTCTTAAACTTGACACTATATACAGCTTGTCTCGACGTATATATTTTGTATAGAAAATAACGTGTAAGAACATTAACAACGACGTGCAGCAAAACTCATTATGCGCATTATATATTTTTAGAGACAATTTGAAGAAGCGTAGTGAATATAACACATAAGTAAAACGAAACATGTATTAGGGACCCCTCAAATCCGTATATCGTTTTAAGTCTAGGGACTAAAACGACGAGCTAATTAAATATTTTATTGGTTATTTTTAAATTCCATATGTCTCGTAAGAAGAGTATCATGAGTTTTTTGTGGGCAGATATTTGAATATTAATTATTATATCAATACATAGTACAAATTAAGATAAAATAATACAAATACATCTATTACTCTATTATAATAGAAATACAATAACATTTGTAGAGTAAATTATACCAATATAATAATATTTTTAATGTTATGTACAGTAACTTAAAAGACAGATGGTTACAATATTTTGTTAATCATTAATATATTAATTAGATCAAAATTAGTTAATCTAAATATGAAAAGTCGGCGTTAAATTCTTTTAAAATAAATTAAACTTGATTTTAGAATGTATAAAATATTCTATTTAATCAAATTTCAGCGTATTAACACATTATTACAAAGAATCAAATCCTCATCAGCGCTATATCAAATTCACTCTCTATCATCGGAAAATATACTCATGCTTTTTGCAAAATTTTAATGTGCGTGGATATATTATAATATTACGGATACTTTTTATCCTTTACAATAAAAAATGGTAAAAGATGACAAAAATTGATATAAATTTTTACTAAAATAATAGATAAGAATTTTTTTTATAACAATAAAAAATTAAAAACAAACATAAATTTTGATGGCAGATATAGTATTTTTTATTTTCATTTTTTCGAAGAATTCATTAATTAATTATTTTAATACAAAATTAAATATATGCTTGACAACTTAGGAATGTATTTATAATAGTTCACATGGTCGTGTTACTTCTTATTCAAGTACAAGTTTTGTTGGAATTTAGTTTTTTTTTGTTGAAAAACATTGTGAAGAACATGCACCAGAGTGTAATGTAATGAAACTCATCACATGCACACTTATTTTCCCGGGATATTCGAAGAAGAATAATTAACAAAATTAGAACTAAATTAGAAACTGTTGAATATTGTCTCATATTGCTAAATGTGTGGGAACTCCCCTAGCATGTAAGGGTGAAGGCCACTCCACCTATCACCAATTGGTTTTAGGTTGGAAGCCCGGATTCCTCCATAACATGGTATCAGAGCCATGACACCTTAATTATTTACTATTTATGTTTATCTTAAATTCTCGAACTTATATTAACCAAGACACCCAATGTGGGACGAAAGGAATATTATTTTTTACAATATTTTATTAATAATGTGTATGTATATGTTCGAATTATTTTTGGATGTGTTTATTTAGTGTTTTGGTTTGAAAATTGAATGCATAAATAAAAAGAAAAAACATCTAATATAGTTAATAATTACAATTCTTACTTTTGCAATATACAGGTGCAAATTTAATGCAAGATCGAAATCCCCATTTAGAAATAAAGTAAAAAAATACTCATGCATTCTCTTAAAATATGATAAACTTATAATATATTTTGTTAAAACCTTAAAAATATTTAGGTGTTTGCTAAAGGATTATTTTGTAAATGTTGATAAAAATTACTAAATTGGATAGATATTCTTATTACAACTCCAATTTCACAATAGAGTTTAAATAAACTTAAGGATATATTTTTAACTCATAAACTTTGATATTATTGTGAAGAAAAATACTAATGTTTAGTTGTTATAAAAATAATTATTGATTAGTCTATTAGTTAAGAATTAACATTAGAATTGCTTGATGTATATTATAATTATATGATTAGTCATAAATTTAAAATTAAGTTTAATGTACACTATCAAATCGATGGTTTGAACCGAAACCGCCAATTTGATCTTTAAAATAAAAAATAAAAAAAATATCATACATAAACACACTAATAGTTGTAATTTATTTATTTTTTCATTGAAAATGAAGTGAAAATTTACATGAAGTTAAGTGTGCAATATGAGAATATTCTTTGGTTGATGCTTAATTCAATAAAAGTTTGAGAAAGTGATGGATTTTTACGAGAGAAACAAATATATTTTCTTTTTATTCGCGTTCTTCCATCTCTTATTTTTTTGGAGAAGAAGATGATGAACTCATAAAAAAGCTTAATCTCACCGGGATAGTTTATGTGCCGGAGTTATTACTACAATATAATATCTAGTTCTTTTTTCTTTTTTTTTTTCTTTCTTTCTTTTTTTTTTTTTTGTGTCTAACAAAGCAAAGAGAGCAAGAAAATAGACTAGTTTGTTGTTTATGGTTATCGGATGTATCGAATCCATGTAAAATTTAGAGTAAGTCAAATACTCCTTTCGTTCCACATACTAAGTCCACGTTGCCGTTTCTGTCTGTTCCACATAACATGTCACTTTCATTTTAAACTTTTTAATTTAATTTTTTTTTAAAATTTTAATTAAATTAATTAGTTATTTTAATCTTAATTTATAATTATTTATATTATAGAATAATTATTTTTACTAATACATTATTAATTATCTACTAATTACACTCTTTCTAAAATACCGTGTCTACAGTGATCTAAGGAAGTCATCCTAAAATACCGTGTCTACAGCGATGTAAGGGAGTCACGTTGACATCTTGTTCATGACTAAGGTGTCTAGCCTAACTAGACACGGTATATTAACATGATCTTTGACCACATGCACACATATATACATACATATATATATACTCTTTATATATTCGCTTTATTTTTATTGGTTTTGTGTCTCTCGTTTGAATCATTAATTGTGTCCAAATTATTACAAATAACATTGAGTTGTTTGCCACCAAATTATCCTAATTAATAATATATGCTTTCAAATTATGGATTTGGATTAAATATTTAAGAGCTTTAATTCTAGTTATGTTCCATTGACATTCTTCCAAAACTATTGGATTAACTTTTAATATGTAATCCTCACTTGAAGCATAAACATCCATGTGAAGCATACGAATCGATACAACTTATCATATTCTTTGAAAATCCATTAGCAATTTGTTCGATAGGGTTAGTGTAGAAGCCAGTTTCCAATATCCTCAACTCACTGACCTTCGAGCGAAGATCTGAGATCAGTATCAAATTCTGGAAACTCAAGCTCTTCCAAGGCCTTGAATACATCTTCAGCAGTGATTATATGTCGATTTGAATCTTTACATATCTCATTGGCTCTGCATAGATCAAGAAACCTTTGTACATGTCCAGTGATAATCCATTCGACCCCCCAAACTCAAAATCGTGATACTGATATTGTCAATCTTCCATAGTTTCATGATTTGTAACCAAAGTCCAGAAATGCACACTACAATTCACAAGTTGAAATCACACTAAGCAGTAAAAGCCCTAAAATCGGATTAAACCCTAACCAATTTCAGAACATCAGCTCATCTTTCAAATTCAAAAACTAATTTCCACAAATTGTGCAGATCTATGAAATAACAATCCGAAACGAATCCAATCAAACGAAGAAATGGAAATCAATCGAGTGAAGCAGTGTGTAAAACGCAAGTGATTTACAGATTTTCGAGCGAGGATAGCCTTA